TAAAGGTGACCTTCATCTGACTTTCAAGCAACTATTCAAGGTCACACTAATGGCACCATCTTATGTCCTCCTCGAAACCATACAACTTTTGTCTAAAACATTTTTCCATCCGAGCACTTTCCGCGATGATAATCGAGGTGCACTATTAAAATGGGATACCCTATATATAACATGAACTAGAAATTTTGATCAGATACCTGATATTAACAGAAACCTAAGAGGGGACCCTAAGGTGAATGAAGGGTAATCTTAATTAACCCTTGGAGGACCATGTGGGGTAACTGAGTGACCCCAAAATTCTTGTTTCTTTTGCCATTTCTACAATTTTTAATCTTTCTCGCTGAAACTTGGACTATATGACTGTTTCGTAGCATAGAATCGATAAATTATTTTATAAAATGTTTACTACAATTATTAACAAAATGGCGGATAGTGGAAAAATAGCACATTCTTGTACGTCATTCCCAAGCCGTTTATAATTGTTGTGAAACATGATAAAAATTTGTGACTGCTATATAAATTCAAGGGAAGACTAATATTCATATTTATATAATAAAATATGTGAAAATAAAAGTAGCGGATTCAATATGGCAGACGAAAATGGCGAATTTCGATTCTTTTCAACGAATTATCACCAAATTTTATATACGGGGGTTTTCGAGGCTTCTGATTGCTGATTTGCCATCAGAATGTTAAAATTCAAAATGACGGATCCGATATAGCGGATGAAAATGGCGAATTTCATTTTTTATTAATAACCAATTGTCTGAAATCTTTGTATGTGTGCAGCTAATTGATGTTTCTTGGAGTTTTATAATGGTGTGCTCTCTCTCTCTCTCTCTCTCTGTTCAGTTGATTCTCTTGTAATATGCTCGGAAAAATAATCCTTCCCTTGTGAGACTCGAACTCGGGATCTCTAGCTTTTGAGGAGTAGTTCATCTTACCTACTGAGTCACTACTACTAACTAGTGGAAACGATTCTTATTATGCCCATATATAAACTCCATATAATGCTCCATATCCACTCTTTCAAAAATAAAAATTCATTCTATACGAGTAAAAAGTTATTCCAACTCTAGTGATTCCATCGTCGTTACTCCATTTATCGAGTGATAATTTTACTCCAATAAATTTAGAGAGTACATTTCAAGATAATAATAACTAATATTCACTGTGAACTATTCGGAAAAAGTCATCGTATGATTTATAAAAACATTTATTCAGAGATAGAATAAAACTTATAGATATCACATATAAAATTCAATTTCTTTTAGTAAGCGTATATCTTAGCTCATCAAACATATGAACAAGTTTTATATTTTAATGGAATGAAGTGATTGTTGGTTCCAATTTCGATAAATATCCAAACATATTATAGAATTTATTTTTCAGCATACAATATCACAATTTATCCGCACAAAAAAGCATGAAAAATATTAATATTTCCTAAAACTGCATATTTTATAAATGGAAGACACACACAGATTCAGTGAACACTTTAACCTAGCAGTTAATGACAGAAATACCTGTGGAAAGAAAAATAATAAAATTACGAAATTACAGACATAGAATTAGAGAATGACATGCAGTGACAGGAAATAACGAACCATGATGGTATATACTTTTCTTTCCACGCATTTTTCGTCATTAACAATGTAGTTCAGTTTTCTTTCCGTAGATATTTTCGTCATTAACAACTAAGAGATTTGTAGTTCACGGATGGCAGTGACAATTATAGTTCGATTGTTGAAGTTGTTCCTCCTTACTGCATTTTGCATAATTAATCATATAATAGTTCTCTTCTGTCAAATAAAAAATTTTATTAAAAAACTATAAAAAGCTATAACATTAAAATTGTATAAAATAAAAAGCAATTATCTTCAAGAAAAATGCTAAATCCATTCCCTAATTTATCATCAATTACCACTTCTATTTTTTAAAGGCATGATAAAATATACATGATTTACATTTCAAATTAATTTCAGAAAGAACTATGTTTAGTAATATTACTTAAATTTAATTTTCATAATATCACAAAATGCAATGATCAAAACATTATACAACATATGTATTTATAAAATGCAGTTTATAAAGATTATTGATATTTCATATGTTTTTATGATTTGTATCATCTGACAAATTGCAATACTGCATGAAATATATATAAAACAATATTAAAATAATACAAATAATTAAATGTATATATTTGTATGTCATTTATTATATTCATGTGAGAAAATAATGTTTCATATACAAATAAAAATATGTAAATTTGTCCCTTACATATTAACGTAATATAGATTTGGAAAAAAAAAAAAAAGAAAAAAGAAAAGAGACTGAGGTCGAATATCTCACATTGAAAATTCTAGGCAGTCTACTATGCTACATGTTATCGTTAAAAATGATAATTTCATTTTGACTTATATATGTATAGTACACTATTAAGCACTGAGTAAATTTTCAAGAATAAAAAAATATTGTTAGCAAGATATATTCAAATAAAAATTGCAAAATTCTGCTAATGTTTTATATATTATTAATCTATTTGAGCAAATTAAAATCAGTGGAGTATCAGCTATACACCATCCTCTTGTCAGTGAAACTAGCGATTCTTTATCTTTATGTTAAGTTATACAAAAATTGTATTGAAAGTAAAGATAGAATCAATCAACAATCCTCACATACACACTGAGAAAATAATAATTAGTATTATAATGATAAATATTTTTCAGAGATAGATTACATCAATTAAATAAAAATATTATATAATTAAAGAAATTTCAAGTAAAATCTTTAACACCACTTTGAAAATAAAAAATAAAATAATATATATAAATATTACTTGGAATATAATTAAATACAATTTATCACTATTGTTATATGATTCATCATACATTTTTAACTTTTGTTCCTATCATGATTTTCCAAGTTTTGGTTGAAAGAATATTACATTTAATTATTTTTGTAGGGATTTTTAACTTATAAGAAACATTATTCGATGTTAAGAAACTTTCCTAGATAAATGTTTATAAAATGTTTCAGAAAAGGAGTATGCGATACTTGAGATATTTGTAAAAACAAAAAATATATTTCAATATAGTTCTCTCTCTCTCTCTCTCTCTCTCTCTCTCTCTCTCTCTCTCTCTCTCCCCCTCTCCGTCTCCCTCTCCCTCTCTCTCTCTCTCTCTCTCTCTCTCTCTCTCTCTCTCTCTCTCTCTCTCTCCTTCATTCATATCAAAAGCATTGTTTACAAAACAATGTATATCAAGTTAATTTAAATATCTGCATATCAACAGAGTCTGCTCAGTCTATACTCAATCTAGTCTCAAATTACATGAATAGAATTTAGGAAGATTTTGCCACTAATCTGCTGACATGTCAACAGGTTCTATCGACAGATCCTGAACTTAATGTTGACACAAATAACTATGAATTTATATATATTCCTGAACAAATCTGCTGCCACAATCTGCCAGTAAACTATTAGTATTTTGTTTAATGAATATAGAATTGTATAGGATTATACATATATAATCATATAGAGACAGTTTGTACATATTTAAATTATATATAATTATATGGAATCATATTTGCTCAGATGAACTGTATCATTTTGAACTAATATATATATATATATATATATACTTGACACTAAAATAATTCATTGAGTATTTGGTAAGCTTCTGGATTTGAATGGTGCGTATTTTCATTTAATTAATATTTAGAAATATACATCAGTAAAATCTGAAAGATCACTGAGAATTTAGAGAGTTAATAAATATACACACTAAAACAGCTTTATATCAATACTCAGTACTCGGTACTATAATAATCAGTATCATGCAACTTTAAAGCAGCATCCATATGTGTGTAATCATGTGATATTATTTATGTTCTCTTGGTGAAAACCACTTATACTATTAGTGTTATTTTAAAAATATTATTTATAGATAATTATGTACACACAAGTACATACACACAAATGTATATCCAAAAAGATTTTATTTCATATTAAATTAATAACTATATTGAATTAATATTAAATTAAAATTTAAAAAACTATAGATTAAAGTTAAGAACAAAAATTATAGTGAAAATATATAAAATATTAAGAGAACAAAATTATAAAAAGAACATGTAATTAAAAATCAAATTTAACTTGGAAATTCATGTCCAAATAGTTAAAAATTCTAGACTTTAAAATCTTAATTATGAAAAAACTGATTAAGGAGATTAAAACAGACTAGATTAAATAAAAAAATTTATTTTTGAAATAAAAATTAGCACAGCATTCAGTGATATAATGTAAGTCTGAAATTTTTTGTCACATAATAAAATATCACATTATTCCTAGTCAATAATAATCACAATTTAACATAAGAAATAATATATGTATATATATATATATATATATATATATGTGTATATGTATGTATATACACATCAATGTAATTCACCGAAATATGCTACGTAATATATCATATGAACAGTATGTTGATAAGAATGATAAGATCATATCATAAGATATACAATTTTATATTATTGTTGCAATGCAATAATAGTATAATAGTTTTATATTATTGTAAACAATTACAAAGACATAATACAAAAAAGGAAAAACATTAAATGATAAAATAAGTGAAAAGAATAGGAGATAAAAGAGAAAATGTTATAAAAAGGGCGTGACGTGCGTTTAAAAGTAGCGGCAGAATGTTGCACGATGTGTGCAATATAAATGGCGCATAAATTTTGTTTGTTGCATACCGCAATCAGCGTAATCATTCTTCTGAAATACTTGGTAACCCATATTACAATATACAATATGTGTAACCATCCCAAAGCATTATATGATATTAAATGATGCATTAGGCGTCAGACTTATCGCGTAACGTCAGATCGCTGCTCTCAATGTTTATCTCAACGTCGTCTGTCAAGCGACCGATACGCAATCAACTTTCTGCTGCGTTATTCTGACATGAAGTTGACTTGATAACACTTACACGACCATGCCGTAAGCGCCTTCGCCCATGTATGACAGATTTGTGTAACGCGGACCGACCTCAAATGTTTGTCCGCGCACCACTTCGCAATTCGGATTTGCACTCGCAGAACCTTCACACGCCGCCATTTTGACACTACTTTGGTAGCCCGTTCCTGCGAAGTGTTCGAAGTACTACGCTACAAAAGCGACAAGCAATAACACACTATTAATGCACCACTAGACAGATTATCGTCACTACAATGGCCGCGACGTCGCTTAAAATGAGTATAGTCCGTTTGAAGTTATAAATACTTCAAAGAGTTTAGAGTGTAGGCATTTATAACAGAGAGAAGCTTAAGAATAACCATACCATATGCTCTTAGGATATTTTTTGAGAATGCTTTTCTTCGGTGCGCCCTCTGAAGAAGTAGATATAAAACGTATAAAGAATTTATAGTTTTTGCAATTAAAAGAATTTTTATCAGCTCATTAGTAATATTAAGTTATAAGTTTCATGATGGGCCAGATAGAACTTACGATGTCATTTATTATTCTTAAGTTAATCATAATCTGTTCAATTGAAAACATAAGCTGAAAACTGAGTTCCGATATTCACTGCCAATACTGAATATATATAGTTTATGTCACGTATACTATAGATTTTCAGTACTGACAGTAAATTTCGGAACGCAGTCATAATTGGCCATTTTCCAGCAAGAAACGCTGTGTTACACAGAAATATTTTATTGGCTATGCATTATCTAAAAAGATGTTGTAGATAATATATAGCCAGTAAAACACTAGGTTAGGTAACACAGGGTGCTTCCGATAACCTGGTTAGAGTTAAGTTTCCTAGGAATAAAATATACGTATAGGTATAACCATCTACTACCATCATACTTCATGACAACTCAATGCTGTCTTATTGCCATTAAGTTGAGTTAAGAAAGTCGATAGTTGACGGTAAGACGAAAAATAGGATAGAAGGTAATAATCCGCAAAATTATATTGATTGTGATAAACAATAAATTTTAATTAATCATCATAAGTATTACCTTTATTAAAAGTTATAATTATGTAAAATTACCACGCATCGTTAAAATTTGTTTTTTATCACAATTAATACAATTTTGCGAATTATTACATTCTATCCTATTTTTTGTTTTACCGTCAACTACCGTCTTTCTTAACTCAACGCAATAGCAACAAGACGGTAACGCGATAATTTCCCGAAAAAATGGCGGAGACAAGGTTGGTATCAACGAAAACTTCTAGACGACATAGTTTTAATTCCTAAAGGTTAGTAATACTGTTTAAGTGGTAAGCTGTTGGTTTGCGCAAACTTTTTGATAAAAAAAAAATGTATTGTTTCAAAACATTTAGACCATTATTTTTTATATAGTTTAGAACGAAACCAATAGTTTGCTGAAGATTTACTTATAAGAGGAACCTAAAAGTTTTCTTATTAAATAACTGCCACATTTCAAACTGCATAAAATCAAAGTATTTAAGCTGTTTTAAAATTTCTGTGTTCATACTGTTACGCAAACTGAAAGCAGATTTAGTTTATTGGTCATCAAACTAAACTTGTTTTGTTTGATTTATTCACAACAATTTTTAAGTAATTATGAAATAGAAAGAAGAAAAAAGTAATAATTGAATATAAATATATATATATATATATATATATATATTTATTTATTTATTTATTTATTTATTTATTTACATATCATTCTTAAGCTCAAAAAAGATTTAGCAAGAAAAATTTTATTTCAGTCATAAGTCATATTCAGCCATAAGTTTTTTTAATACAAAATATGTATCTGCAAAAAATTTTATGTTCTATTAACACATTCACTATCAAGGTATTTTAGTTGATTTTACATTAGTTTACATTAGTTTTAATAAAATTCACTGTAATATATGCATATGACTATTTAATAAATAAAAATTTTAAGTATTTATCAATGCATTTTGTCTATATTTTGCGATTATTATTAAACACTATTATAATCTTATAAAACAAATAATTGTATGTTATAGATATTTTAACATCCATATCATGATAGTCACCTGTGAACGATGAGACGTAAATAAAAAAAACTCAGTACCGGTTATCAGTGATCATCATGGTGTATGTATTAAAAAATGTTAATATTTAATTTGACTAAGTCCACTTCTGATTCTGACTAAAAATTGAAAATGACACCATAAGAACTGGTATATATTATTTCGTGACAAAAAGAAAATCGTTTCTATTACTTGAAAGGAATCCTTGGAAAGGAAAATGGATTTTACAATTTGCAGACTTTTGAAAATCATTCCAAAATAAAACTTGTGTTCTAAAGTATACGCTATTATCAAAATTTCTTGGTTTTACATAAAAGCAAAATCTGTAATAAGAAATACTTAAACAAAAAGCTCAACTTTTAGTATAACCAGACTATTTCTGATTCATATCGGAAATTAAACACCATCTTTTAAATAATAAACACAAGTGATCTTTAACTTTTGATATAGATCAAAAATAGTCTTCATACCAGAAGTCAAATTAAAGAAACAAGATATATTTTTATTGCAAATTCTGATTCCACATAAAAGACATTTTAATATTTTAATAATGAAAATATATAAAATAGATTCGAAAATCTATATTCAATAAAGAAAGGGGTTTGTGGTTGAGTAATTTTAGACGTCCCATTACTTATCCTTACTTATACAAGGTGGGGGCATCTAAAACAAGCCACCTGAATAACTCCCACAATTTTCGAGATAGGAAAAATGCTTGAAATAAAAGTTGTAGAAAATCGAGTAACGAACTTGATGGTGACCTTGAATTTGACCTTGGCCATGACCTTCAAGGTCATTTAGAGGTCAACTTTCGTCTTTTAAATGGGAACCCTAATTTTTTATTACTGTCTTTTTCTACCAATTAGTTTGAACAACATTTGTCTAAAATATTGTTTTATTTGCCTAATATTTTTTGAGACATTTGAGGAAAACTTGGTAACTTTTTCAACATTTAACTTACGATATCTCACTACTTGTTTTTTTTTTTTTTTGGAAATTTCAAATCATCAAATTAACAAAAATCAGGGCACTATTGTAACAATATATTCTCGAGACTAAATAAAGCAAGAAAGTCTAGTACTACTTTTTCTTCCGATAAATAGTTAGCGAGATATGGTAAGTTAAATATTGAAAAAGTTATCAAGTTTTCCTCAAATATCTCGAAAAATATTAAGCAAATAAAGAAATGTTTTAAACAAAAGTTGTTCAAATTGATAGAAAAAAAAAACAATGCAATAAAAAATAAGGGTTCCCATTTAAGAAACGCAAATTGACCTCCAAATGACCTTAAAGGTCATGGCCAAGATCAAATTCAAGGTCACCATCAAGTCTGTTACTCGATTTTCTGCAACTTTTATTTCAGGAATTTTTTCCCATCTCGTAAACTGTGGGCGTTATTCAGGTGGCTTGTTTTAGATGCCCCACCCTGTACACTAAACTCATACGCACGCACACGTGTTGTACATACATGCAATTGTATGCACAAATCCACGCGCGCGTGCACGTACGCACACACACATATGGATATGATTTTATATTCTAAGTAGATGATATAAAATGTCATGAAAAAGTGATGTATCTCAAAAATCATAAACCGATGTAATAAACGCTCTTTTTACAAATGTTAGACTGTTAAACAAATGAACTATATTATTCATTTGGATTGCAATCATTCTCCGTCGCTTTCATTTTTTGTATATTTATCGTTTTTCACTTCTATCCTCAGTGGAGAACGTCCTCTGGTATGGTTTCCAATGCGTGATCGTAAGTCACCGCCTTTCAAAGTATTTCTCAAATCATGACTTCTCGATTGTCTGAAAAAGAAAAAATTGAATAAAATTCTTAAATCTTAGTTTGATGTCTTAAGATAAAAACGTTTAAATATTTCCTTATGAGTTTCCTTATGAATACGATTTATACAGTATGTTTTGAAAGATTTAACATTTTTTCATAATTACAAATACTAATAGACATTAAAAATGACAGTAATTTTTATCGCGATATCAAGGCATCGAGTATTATTATAATTCACTTATTATATATGTCTATTTTAATAAGCATTTCATATGCTTAATTTATTATATATAGTCTAGGGAATTTGAATTTTAAACAAGGAACTTATATTTCAAATTGTTTAATTTGTAATGCTTTCTGTAGACAAAGACAAAATAAATTAATTTTCTTACCTGTTTGTCAGATAGCTATCATTAATTTCACTTTTTAAGTGATTTAATCTTGTCCATACAGTGGAGGCAATACGTGGCTTGGGTGGGATTACTTTTATCACACTTCCTTTAGGACCCTGAATTTCCTTCGCAGGCACATTACTGTCTTCTTCAACACTACCCTCTTCGTCTTCTCTGTGTTCATCCTTTTCTTCCTCCTCTTGCTCTTCTTCTTGTCCTTCCTCTTTTTTTTTCTGGTTGTCTTCTGATAATGTGTATTGCCTATATTGACTTTGATCAATCCTTTCATCTTCTTTTTTCTGATCACTTTCGTTTTCCGATTCTTGCCACTCTCCTTCTTCCCTTTCCGATGGTTGGATTTCTTTCATTATTTGACGATTTCGCTTCCATATTATCTTAGAGCTATTATCATGTTTCAAAGAACTTGGTTTTGTTAGGGCCGTGTTCGTGACTATTACTTGAATAGGATCATGATACTGTATTTTTGTTCTGGGTTTTTTCAGCTTTGATCGCAAATCACCACTATTATTTAAATTATTAAGAATCATCTATGTAAAAACAAACATAATCATTAACATATTAAAACAAATTTTTGAATAAACATAAACTAACCTGATATCGAAGTTTTGCTCGTCGTTTTTGCTGTTTTTCCTCCTCGTCATCGGCATGCATTCGCATTCGCAAAACTTTGCTTCGCTTACACCAATTCTCCTCACTATCACTGCTTGAGCTAATTTCTCCTAATTCCATCACTTGTGTTGTGTCCTTATCCAAAGATTTAGTACCTAATCTGTCTTTTATGCTACGTCCATGGTCTTGATCACTTCTTGGGAGAAAGTCATCTTCCACAACATCATTTAAACCCCATGTCTCAGACAATGTACCCCACGGATTCTTCATTTGATTTTGATCTTTATTTTCAGTCGATAATTTGTGTTTATTTTGCTGAATTTGCTTGTATATACGTTTACGAGATTCTGTTAGGGCTTTTTTGAAACCTATAAACTCACATGTAGATAAAAAATTATCCTATCAATTTCACTTCTGTTTTATTTAATCCTGAACTTATTCTTATTGCATATAAATACATAAAATAACACTCAAGTTTACCTCTGAAATTAGTGCTTCCGTATTCTTTATATTCGTTTATTTTTTCTGCATTAGACTGTTTCCTATCCATTCTGGTAGCAAATCTTAAAAATATTCCCTTAGATTTTGGGTAATCAATCCCTTTTCTCCATGTGCCAGGAGGTAACGGATAATCTATATCTTTAATGTTTATATAATTTTCTCTCTTTTTATCATTGTCTATATTAGCAAACTTATTTTTCCCATTTTCTATCCAATCATCATCTTTACAATCTTTCCTATCTTCAGAATCAGTTTCTGGATTAAGATTTCCATCTGAATATTTTTTGGTATTATTTAATATTTTTCTTGATAATCCCAACATAGCTCTGGCTGCTGACAAGTTATCAAACCAAACTACATTACCTATAAAATCATAAATAAGCAAATCAAATATTAATTGAATAATTACTACATATTTATTGAATAAAGTCAAACTTAAAAACTTACATGAAATATCATTGATCCACTCAATAGACTGTGGAGCATAATCTTTAAAATATTTCAATACATCTTTGGTACTCATTTCCTCAGTGCCTCTAACATGAATAACATTTAATCTAATATTTTTCATATGATCGTCATCTGTGATACCCATACTACAAGCATTGCAATATTAAGTCATTTTTTATAGTATTTACCATCAGTTATACAAATAAAAGTTTCTTTTACCTGCTATATAAATCTTTTTCTTGATCAGAGAATAAGTTTTTTAATTTTTCTGTCAAACCAAAACGCTTTGCTCGTTCTTCCATCTTTAGTTTCTCTTCTTTGCTGAATGTATCAATACCTGTCACAAATATGCCAATACGTCTGTCCTGCGTCTGTATAAAAATATGTTTCGAATCATTCTGAGTATTTTTTTATTCTGAGCATTAACAAAAAATAGTAACAATCAAAATTATTTTTATTACACATGGCTCTGCTTTTACGGTAGTCCTAATAGGATCGTTTGGTTTTTCTTGTACATGTATACTCTCTTCCATAGACACCATCTCAATGTCCGACGACTCGTCACATTCGTCCATCATATAAACGTCTAATAAATATGTCAGATACGAAATATTACAAAAGAAATGAACAAGTTTTACCAAGCTTATAAATAATTGAATATCCTAAAAATAATTTTAAAATCCAAATCTACAGGTTAAAATCTACTAATAAGACTTACTGAACACACGAAAAGCTATGAAGACTTCTGGTGGAAAGTTGTGAGCAATGGAAGATTTACAAAGCAAAGATATAGTCAGATGCATTAAATTATTTACTTTTAAGGTTGTTTTCCAATAAGAAACACAAAATTGTTTTATTGGCTGATTATCATTATAGATGCTTGTAAGATGATATTTAGCCAATGAAACGACTTTGTGTATTGTTGGAAAACAACATAAGCATAGGGTGCATTCAGTACTACAACCGCTCACTGAGCGCTAAGTGAGCTCTTGCATCTGATTGGTATATACCTTTAGATTTAAAAATATACACCAATCAGATGCAAGAGCTCACTTAGCGCTCAGTGAGCGGTGTAGTACTGAATGCACCCATAGGCTGCGTTCAGAAAACACAACGGTTACACAACGGTTGAGTAATTCGTCAACGTTATTGGTCTGAATGTAAGGATCTAACAGTAAGGACCAATAGTTACTAAGCGCTCAGTGAGCGCTTTGTTTTCTGAACGCAACCATAGAAAGCATAAAGCCAGCGGCACACGGTGTTTGTTTTCGTGCTAGATTGCTTGCTGGATGAAAATACTGCGTTCTGATTGGTACATTTCCGAAGATGAATGGAAATGCACCAATCAGAACACAGTATTTTCATCCAGCAAGCAATCCAGCACGAAAACAAGCACCGTGTGCCGCTGGCTTAAGGTTAATATTAAGCTCAGACTCCATGTATGCGGTGGAGCTTCGGCAAATGCTGCGGTGACCAATCGGGAAACAAGCGCAGGTCCGGTTGCGGCGGCACAGATACAGTGGCCGTGTTCCAAAATTCACTGCCAGCGTTGAAAAGTTATAATTTGCGTGACACAAACTGCATATTTTCAGTACTGGTAGTGAATTTTGGAACACGGCCAAAATAAGTAGATACAGAATAAGTTCACTTAGGAACCAGTTAGGAAATTAGAGAATAGGCCACTTCTGCTGTGACCAAAATTCCCGAATCGTTTTTCAGAACAGGCCTCTGGTGAACCTCTGGTGGAGGAATTGAATTTACCCAGATTCGAAAAACATTCTTGTTGACAGATTGGCGAACCTGACTACGCAGTTGTTCGGTCAGTTGTCATCCGTTTCGTCGATTGCGGTTACATGAGTTTTTGCTGTGCTTATCTGCGAGATACGGCGCGTATCGCATTTCTGCGATCGTCGCATATGAAATGCATTGATCATATCGTTTTTAGAGACTTCATTCGTCATATTTCAGCAGGTTAGATTACAATTATTATTCTCTTTCGTTCTTTGTGCGCGAGCGCTCGCAAGCACTTATTGCAAGTTTTAAGGTTAACTACTCGTCAACTTCGTCGTTTTGTCTTACTTTTCAAAATTTAGCAAAGATTGCTAAAATTATTCACACTGTTCACGTTATCATTTGGAATAGTAACGTTGTCGAAATTCAAATCAACTTGATAGACATGAAAATACTTACAAATATTTGCAGAATTATCCTCACGATTTGCTCGCAATGTACAAACATACACAGTAAATTCATAAAAATTCATAGAAGTATATGTTGCGAGATAAGAAATTTCAAATGAATCATGAGTTTTGAAAATTAGCAATTAGCTTGACATATTTGTGTGTGTGTGTGTGTGTGTGTGTGTGTGTGTGTGTGTGTGTGTGTGTGTGTGTGTGTGTGTGTGTGTGTGTGTGTGAGTGTTAATTTCTTTTAATTTAATCTTTAATCTAATATTTGTATGCTATGATATCTTATATATTGTATCATCGTATACATTGTTTACATCTTTATTAACTGTGTTATTATTGTTTAAGGTTGTGTGACAGTGAATATATAGAACATGACAGAACCAAAGCCATCAGGACTAAGGCTACCATCAAAAATTGGCAGGCCATGCTCCACTATGCCACCTAGACCTGCAATCCCGCCTTCTTCACCGAGACCAGTATCCAGTGAGTCTTTTAGATGGCATATACCAGTTTCTTTCATGTATTCTCTGCACGCCTGTAGATTTTATATCTTTGAGTAGAGTGTTTTGCCCAGTTTGTACTTTTTTGTACTAATGAATAACATATTTAATACCGCTGTAGATATTAGGTACTGATATTAAATATTTCTGTAAGAGGAAGATATCTCAGAAGAAGAGAATACTCAATATCCATTCATTGAGTTCTCATTGAGGGAGAAAATGCAACAAAATTTTTGCAACTGTACATTTGTTGTACTATTCGCGGCTCGTTCCTTTTCTTTGAATACACACTACGAAGGCATGAGAACGACGACGCGTTATTAATTCGTCTCACACATAGTGTTGCACGCACATAAGAGAACATCGTGCACGCCCACGAGCGTGCTCGATGTCACGAGCGATCGTGAACGAGAGTGGTGCTCATTTATGCGCGCACCGCGCGTGAGTCGTTCCTCGACCGTTCGCGACGACACATCGGCTGCCAAAGAAATCGGGTAAATATCTCTGTCTTAGATCAATGCTAGAAACTCACCCCCTCGAACTTGTGTCCCGAGAGTACAGCTTTCAAGTCTAGGGAACATTTTGCGAACATTTTTGAAAAAATTTGCAGAATTTAGAACGTAGAATCGACCTTTCTTTTTGCATTCTCTGTAATCTACAATAATCCATAATTGACTGACTTCACAACCGGAGAAGAGAGAGAGAGTACTGTGTACTTAAATCGAAGTGAAAATAGTTTAGATAGCTAAGGACATTGTCTCCTATACGGCATAATTAAATAATCCGGAATAAAAAAGACCCCAAGGAGAAATCTCCTGAGAATCGCGATATTCAAGTTACGAGAGTTTGTCTGAATTTTTCTGAACGCCTAATAGACTCAATTGTCATATATTTCGTCTCCATATTCCACATTAGGCCCAAATCTTTGTTACATTATCATTCTCCTCTTCTTTTGTTTCTCTATTGTTATCTTTCTATGTTCTTGTTTTTTTTTTCCTCCCCAGCCCGATACTTACAACATCGCATTTATGACTTTTGTATTACTTTGTGCGCGGAAAGGGCGAACGAGCTAAAAATAAGATGCATCGTTATTTCGAATCTCGATACATCTTTATGGCAGTCGTACACGTAGCATGTTGCCATGTGCAGGGCATGTATCTTGCCTTATCGGTGCGATTGGTTGCATCGCCTTCCTTGTCCGTGCACAATCGTGCGCAATGTGCGCGTTCGTCGGCTGACGCATTGCGATTATGCAAGCCACTGTTTACCTTGCGTCCGCGATTTCATTCCGTTTCGTTTCTCCCTCTGATCTCTTTCTCCTCTCGCTCGTTTTTAGCTTGTCGTCCTTTACCTTCTCGCGTCCTCTTGACGACCGTCCTCTTAGAATGGGACAATCAATCGTTCGTTCGATCGTCTCGAATTTTGCTATACGATCGGAAGATTCAAGGCCTGATGATTATTCACAGGCCGGTGAATTCACACCGGCACACACATTCGCGCGCGAAATTCTGTTCTTTGATTTTAGATCATCGTAAAGAAGCGAATTCAATCGCGCATTGCGATACTCAATAGATCGCAACAAGCCGCATTCCAAAAATTATCATGCTCATTTTTCGGCCGCTTAGCATTCAGCATAGCATTTTGGTCAGCTGATTCTTTGCTATTTATTAGCGTCGCGAATGTTATCAAACAGGTAAAAAAAATTCGTGCAGCGGCATTAGCGGCGCTTAGCTTGCATCGACGTAATCGGTATGATGTTTTGTAACCGTGTGACACCATCGGCCAAATACGGAGAGATAAGCGGTTTTACAAAAGCGGTGACCACTAGTGAGTCTTATGCTCATTTCGGGCCGCTTCGCGCGTGTGTTTATACAAGGTGTCCATCGAAGCTGGTTTTAAGGTCATCCATTCGATTTTTTATAGTCGAACGTTGAACGAGAGGCGGGATAGGAGGGAGGGAAAGCTAAAGATAGAGAACCTGTTATTAATCCCTGGTAAATATTAAAACGGCGAGCGGTGAGATATGACATGGAGAGTAACACAATGTCGTTGTAGGTATAATACTATACGTTCACTTTCCTAAATAATTTTCGAGACGTTTGATCGGGCCTCTTAGACGAAGCCTTCGTAAAGCCGAACGCATCGCTAATTAATGCGAAATAACAATTAGCGGCAAGATGGAGGAGAGAGCCGCGCGCGTTCGCGGCGCGGTTGCGCCCGAGAGCGTCAATTACATCATAATCTCGTTACATCGCGAGATGAGAATTGCAGATTTATTGCGGCTAACGCGCGGATGACGCGTGCATCTCTGTAGTTACGCTATTAACCTTGTACTTTACGTGCGAAATATCCACAATCGAAAGCACCTAGTACGCCCGTATTCGATAACCACGCGCGGATTACATTACTATATCGAGTGTGATCGGAAACCGATCACACTCGACACTCCGTTAACACGGCGGATTCATATATTCTGCCGCCGGATATAGCTGCTGATCGCTGATTCTGTGAACGACAAGAAAAATATTTGGAACGTCGTCGATTCATGAGAGATTGCGTAGCGACGTCAGATCAAAATATTGTGACTGATATGTACATCCGACGCGCATAATTAATCGCGCGGCCGCCCGCGCACACAAATCACGATTGTTCGCCGCGTCGTTGCTTCTCGAGAAACACGCTTTGTCGTTGATCATGCTTTGACACGCCTGAATTAAGAAATATAGTGTGTCCTGTTGTCGGAAATTATTGAAGCGCGCCGCAATGTAATGGCTTGGCGATCATGAATTTATCATCTTGTCTTGCACGGAATTTGCGCGGTGTGTGACGAAAATCACATCGAATCACGCGGAACGAAGGATTCTCGTTTTTCGACACGTGAAACGCATATATTCCTTCGGTGGGGATTTGTAGTCAATTTTTTTTTAACTCGTAATCCTTGATTTCCTCGACTTGGTCGGCATACATCTCGTCAAAATTTAGATCAAATTATTGATTTATATATAAATATAATATTAGATTGATTTATATAAATGCGTTTAAGAATTTCTCATATAATCATCATTTTTATTATCATTTATTGTTACCGCCGTTGTTACACGTATCACATATTCGCTATTTAACTATTTCGCAAACATGGAATACTTACCGCGAGATTGATCGCTCGAACATTCGATCACTCGATTATTTATTAAAAACGATCACGTCGCGTGCGTAAAACGAAGGCGCATTAATGCAGATTGCGCCGCACGATAAAATCATACAATGCACCTCTCGCAGTTGTGGCCGCGTAATCGCTGAGATTTCATCTCATCGAACAGAAATTCCAACCTACGCGATCGACCTACTACGATTGCCGTCGTCGTCATCATCACCACCGCCGCCGCCGCCGCCGCCGCTCCGCTTACTAATCACATTCCCATAAATAATTAAGTCGTAAATTGCGATACCCGAACTTGCAATACCGCGGCGATTCCTTTTGCGGAGTTTTTTCGCTGTGCGAAAATAACCGACGACGTGAGACAGCGATTAGCGACGAGTCGCGACATGTGTGCGTGTGCGTGTGCGCGTGCGTGTGTGTGTCTTTCTTTTTCTTATTTTTTATATTTCCGTCATTATTTGCGTCGATACACATATTGGTTAATTAGGTTTTGAACAAGGTGCGAGCAGTCGTCCGTCTCTCGTCGCATGATTGTGTTGGAAATCATTGAGATCTTATCGCTGTCATCTGAACACACCCTGACGCCATTAATGATGCGTTTACATAACTCTCTGTCTTGAGCCGATTGTAATCGACTTCCGTTGCCGATTATTGCGACGGCAATTACAGAACCAAGCCCCGATCCGTTTCACACCAAATGGCGACTCTCTCGTCCGCGGCTCCTTTTAATCGCTCCGTAATAATCACTAATTGACTCGGTTGTAACTAACTTGATATTTTTCACGACGACATGTATATTTACGTTTATTCATTATGAGCGTGGCGCAGGAGGAATTCATTCGTATAAGTAAGTGAGATGATGACGCACGGTTGAAAGAGAGAAGTCGCGTTGAAAGATGATGACGGAGATGACTTACAGTCGGTCGAGTAAGAGCGTGGTCGGGTTAATTTATAAAAAAAATGTATTAAATAAAATTTTTAAATACATATATGCATTGTACTCGATGAGAACAAGGATGCAATTATGTCAATAACGTGTCCCCATCCAGTCACCACCGGCGTCGATAATTGGCGTTGATAATTACCTCCGAGGCATGCTTTCGATCAAATTGACGGCGTATCCGACGAGTTATCTCGCGAGATAACTGCTTCAAAGTGTACGTGCGTTTTCCACGAAGCTCCTACTTAATGTACACCCACATCCATTTTCAATGGATTTTGCATCGGGCGACTGCGACGGCCAATCCAATTATTTGGAGTTTTCGCTACAATACGCCGTCAATTTGGCCGTCAAAAGCATGCCTCGGAGATGCCTCGGAGGCGATTATCGACGCCTCCGGTGGTGACCGGATGCATTATTGACATAATTGCGTCCTTGTTCTCGTCGAGTACAATGCATATATCTATTTAAAAATTTTATTTAATAAATCTTTTTATAAATTAACCCGACCACGCTCTTACTTGACCGACTGTACAAATTAAAAAATTATCGAGGGAGACACTCGTGATTGTAGCGAAGGATTCTGTCACGCAGAAACATATTCCAATTTTTTCATTTCGTTTGTTTGTATGTTTTCGCTATGATTTGCGTTATTTTGCATGACAACGGCAGATCAAATGGAACCCCTCTGGGAATTGCACGGCCGTCACATAAGCGAGGCTGGTCTGCGAAGAGGATCAGGTGAGCGTTTGAACATTGAACCAACGTGTGTGATCTTTTAGATCTTGTCTTGTGAAATTCCTCGTCCAGATCGGTCAGAATATCTGGTCAGAATTTTCAACCTGAACTGTTCGACATCTGTAAAGGGTCGATGGATATTTTATTTATATAGAAACTAAAATCCTACTCTGCGTCTCTAAACGGCAGAAAATGCACAATTTTCCATATGTAGATTAAAGACAATCGAATTAGATTGATATAGATTTCACTGAATACAAATTTAGCATTATATAGATTATATAGATTATATATTGAGGTCGAGAGCAGGATCGAATAAATTTTGACTCGAGATTCGAATCGTAAGAGGAACGACGATAAATTTCGAGAGTAATGCGACCCTTCACGCCTGCTAATTGATATAGCGCTATTGAAAGACGCGAATCGAGAAACGTTTTGTATATCAGGTCTAAATTCTTCCTCATTGAGACTCGCAATCTCTGCACACGGATTTTTCTTCAGGCTGAAACAAATCTTCAGGGTTAGGAAGGGTAACTCGTTACTTATAACCAACTTACAGTTTTAGTTATTTTTTTCTGGTAACTGTAACTTAATTTCGTTCCGTTTTTTTCATCTACTGTAACTGTAACTTAACTTAATTATATTTATTTGATAATTAGTAACCAATTTAATAGTTACTTTGTATCTTTCAAACTTAAATTTCTTTCTGACTACTGAGCACGATAATGCGATGTGCGATGTGCGATATCTAATAAGCATACATTATTCAGGCTGCATTTGGAAAACGTGCTATTGCATCATCTATCTTTATCGTTCATTAGATGTAAAACAAAGATAAAATGACGCAATAGCGTTAATAATCTTTTCTCCGAAAGCAACCTGTATTTCTTTAGGAAAAATTGTACGCCTATTGGACATTTCTGTCGCGCGTCGCCAGTCTTTATTTATTAACATAACCTGCGTTCAGCATGAAGTGCGCTGTGTGTGTGGTTTTAGTTAAATAATAAAAAATTCAAGCAATGGATAAAACATTTTAATTTTCGGAGAAAAGGATTGTAAAATGTCATGGCCAATGTATGCAGAAATATTGAGATTACAGCAAAAATTTGTAAATAAGGACCACTGGGCATTTCTCTGCAAAACATGCGCCGGCAAAAGAATTATTCATGCAAGTAGAATTTCAATTGCAAATTTAAGAAAACATATCAGTGTGTCTTTATTTATCGATAAAAATATCGATATATTTTTATCAGTCAATAAAAAAATCTAACTTTTGATATTAAGATTACGTTTAGTATTTTTAGTATTTATTATCCAGATCAAATTCATTCACTTTCTTATTCACTTTGTTATTAATAGTTTTAGAGAATAAATATGAATTGCTTATTTAAATTAATAAATCTAATTTATAAAAATTATATACAATTATATGAGGAATATAATAATCAACATACTACTTTTATATAAAATTGAAGGAATTTATACAATTACGAAATATAAAATAAGAGCACAATTGTTGTAAAAAAAGTAACGACTCGTTACTTTCTAAATAACTATAACATGGTATTTTTGAAGGTCAGTAACCTGTAATTGTAACTAGTTACTTCTTCAGTGAAAAAACTGTAACTGTAACCAGATACTAGAGATGTGCGAACTATTCGAATTCGAATCGAATCGAATCTAATGTAATGTGATTCGATTCGAATCCGAATCCCTATGATTCGAATCCGAATAATTCGAAAATTTCGAATCGAAGATTCGAATACGAATCAAATATATTTGCAGCGTTTGCATACATCAGCTACAAAATAGGCCATCTGGGCCTGTATGTTTGAACCCTTAACTTTTGTAATTAACTTAACTTATAATTAATAACTTAGTAATTATAAATTGCTTTAAATATTTAAACATATATTTTACTTTAAGATGATATTACAATATCAATATTCCCTTTCATATTAAAATCTTCCATCATTATGTGCATGTTTAATAGTTATGTTACATTTTTTAATGATTCGATTCGATTCGATTCGAATTAAAAGAATGAGATTCGATTCGATTCGACAGAAAAATTCTTGATTCGCACATCTCTACTAGATACTTTTACAAAGTAACTTTCCCAATCCTGCAAATCTCTTAGACTAACTAAATCGCCTCGGTAACGGTGAGAGTTAAGTAGGGCGATCATATGCAAAATGTAAATCTCGATAAGTTCAACTCCAGTTTCGATGTCGCGAGCATCGTTCGCTCATAACATTGTGCGCGATGTTGTCATTCGTTTTAAGGTAGCGCGTTATACTCTCACTTCGCACCCCGATCACAATATTGTAACATGTAGTACGTGTAATATATACAGTAACGTAGTATTGCATGCGTAGGTAGGTAATGTACACGTATTTCGTGATAGAATGTAGCAGTAGTAGCGTCGTGTAACGTGTACGTTGTACGTTGAACATAACGTAATCCGCGGATATATTATAGATTATAGAGTGGTGATTATATGTGTGTGTGGTCGCGAAACCGCGAGTTCTCGCGTGATTAAGCGTGCCATTTGTTCGAAAGATAAATTGCCTTGCCTCCGCGACGAATTCGTTCAGTCGGACGACATTTGATTGCCGATGGTGATTCGATCTCACGTCTCACAGTGTATTCTCTTCGATCCCGCGCAGATACTAGCGTCGTGCTGACCGAAGACACAGACAGCTTTAAGATAGGAGACCGAGTGTGGGTTGGCGGCACGAAACCTGGTACGATCGCCTACATTGGTGAAACCAAATTTGCGCCCGGCGACTGGGCAGGGGTTGTTCTGGATGAGCCCATTGGTAAGAAACCCAGCTCAGAACCGTCCTGACGGCTCTTAGATGATCCGCGGGGGAGAGTTCTGTGGCAGATGCGTTCAAAGAGTAATCCAGAGCGCGATGATAATTCGGAGCGAGTGAAGACATGAGCTTGAACTTTAGGAAAGAATGACGGCTCGGTGGCTGGCAGTCGATACTTCCAGTGTGAGCCGAAGCGAGGCATTTTCTCGAGGCTCACCAGACTCACGAGAACACCGCTAAGCGATCCGATCACCTCGCCGAGAACCCCGACCACACCGCCGGACAGCACCCGAAGCCTTCTCAGCAAGTCCATGTCGCAGTCTCTAAGTAAGGATCGTCTCAAGAGATACTCACCACGTCCGTAGATCTGTTAATTAGCGCGCTGCACGCACGCTATACGCTATCCACCAGTTTTATTTAGTTTCTTGGTCTACTCTTTAACCCTCTTGCTTCTCTCTTTTTATTCCCCTCTTCGACAATGAATGAAAAGTTTCATTCTCAGATGCGCTCATTTCAATGTTCACTAATTTCAGTATCGGATTCAGGAAGATTCGATTAATACGCTGTTTACTGTGGTAAAAAAAAAAAAAAAAAAAAAAAAAAGAAAGAAAGAAGGTATTTATAGGCATAAAAGGGGCCCCCTCCCCGATTTAATTTATTTTTAAATATGTTGTTGAGGGAGTCTTTCTGAGTCGTTTCATATATATATATAAGGGTCGGACGTAAATAGCTTCGGAGATATAGGTTGAGAAAGGATAGAAATTCGTGTAGTTTCATTATTTTTCACATTTCGAAAACTGTACGATGATCTCTAAGTGAATGCTGAATGTTCTACGTCTAAAATATATGAAGAGATTCAAACATAAACAAACCAATAGAGCCATTTTGAAAACATAAACAAACAGGCCCCCCACCTGCACTTCCCCTTGACGAATGAAACTCGCTTCATATGGAAAGTCGTATTGTTCTGTGTCACATGAGTTTGCGATTCTCCACGTGACGCAAGTTCGACCAGACGAGGGAGGGGGGGGAGGGGGCCGAAGGCCTCCCGCATCCCTTCCCTTCGATGTGTGTGTGTGTGTGTGTGTGTGTGTGTGTGTGTTTGTGTGTATGCATGCTTCGGTGATTCATTACTTTAAATGAATTTTCATATTTGCTACTTTCATCGTTTCTCAGCTTCCTCTATCTCCGAAGCTAGTTTGCGTCCGACCCTTATATATGTATATGTATATGAAACAACTTAGAAAGACTCCCCCAACAACATATTTAAAAATTAATTAAATCGGGGAGGGGGCCCCTTTTATGCATAAATACCAAAAAATGATTTATCAAGACTTATCTAGTTAAGCAGAGAGACGCGTTTTTGGGATATATTTATCAGAATTCCTTCGATTTCTTCGATATTATTCAATAAGGAAAGTGCAGGGGTAAAAGGGTTATAAGGGTTAATCAATCGAACGTTGCTGTATGTATATTAGATGCTTATCGAGCACTGAGCGTAGCGATGGCGATTATTTATTTCAAGTGTGACATATTGCGATAGTGTTTGGTGAACGCGCTTATTGCCTGTAACCCCAAGTAGAAATTCACGCGACCATCTGATGCAAAAGGTGGCGACAAAGTAATTGAGTTTTCTTTCTGAGATCGGCATGCAATACGCGGCAGCAATCCCGCTCCGACGATGCGTAGAATGCCGAGACGAAGCTGCCATGTGACTCGGTTCGTCAAGATATAGCGAACTAATTCTGCGAATAACAGATTCACTAATAAAAAACACATTGAATAAGATCGATACTCACATTCGTGAGGATCGATCTCGAATGTGAGACGTGTTCGCGGATGCGCGAAGATCCCGATTTAATTTAGTCGGCAAAGCGCATTAATTAACGAAGGTGGATGGAGAACGATGTTGTACCACCGTCGCTGTAGTAGAAACGCTTGCGCAGGGAGTAACGTATAGCTTCGTAGCGCTTCGTGTGAAACACGAAGAGAGAGAGAGAGAGAGAGAGAGAGAGAGAGAGAGAGAGAGAGAGAGAGAGAGAGAGAGAGTAGCGCAGAGTGATGCTATGCGGCTTTTTGTACGAATCGTCATCATACTGATCGTATTGTCCGCGCTAAACACTGTAAATGCAGATGCATCCACAACTAGCCTGTCATCGACGATATCGCAGAGGACTGATCTGAAGATAGGTGACCGAGTGATAGTCTCATCAAGCCAGGGCAGTAAAACCGGCGTGCTAAAGTATTTGGGCACCACGGAATTCGCTCTGGGCGAATGGTGCGGTGTGGAGTTGGACGAGCCAGTTGGCAAGAACGACGGCTCCGTCAACGACAAAAGGTGTGCATCTCCTGTATCGCCAACACGGCTCTCCGACTATAGGAAAGCTCGTCCTTTGCCGTTTCACCGAACATCCGCGATGATCATTCGATACAGTCATGCGCTTTCCGTTAGTCGATGTCGGCGAGAAAAGAAATCGCGCGTTCCCAGACGCGTCGTTGCATGATTCATATAGATAAAGATCGTTTGAAGAGAGAGACCCTCTTTCTCCCTCGGCCGAGAACATTTATCCCCGAAGGAGCGAGACCGAGAGAATCCGAGAGATTGTTGATTCGTGATATTAGATTCGTCTTTATCGGAAGCGCTACGTCGTACACCGCTATTTTCCTGCTGGTATTTATCTTATATTTAAGACCGTCTTAAGTCGATCTTCAGATGCTTCGTAGCCGGTAACTTCGTCCCATACAGCATTCGAAAATGAATTCAAGGCGATCTCAAATATAAAATTCCTCTATAAATGCCGCCCTTATAGATCGAGGACCTTCTTGCTTTATCAACGAGATCCTAACCAGTCCGTACCAAAAGAAGCGAAACCAGAAGAATCCGGGCGACCGTTAGTCCGCGGAATCAGATTCGCGCGTCAAGCGCGATTTTGTCGCACCTTCGCGTTCACCTCGGAACGGAAGAGAATCGGTTTGGATCTTGGATAATCTTCTTCGTTCGTCGACGACACGAACGTCTCGAGAACGTCTTCGCTCTGTCTCGACTCCTCATGACTATCGTGCATGATATGCGCGTTCGCTCCGAAGTCTCCGGCGACTTGATAGACGCCCCCCGCTCGAAATGCGTCGCGACATATTGTATAGTTTACATGCACTTGCCTCGCGCGACTCGCAATCCCGGGGACCGCGTTCCCGTAAGAGAACGAGCATAGTGAGAGAAATATGCCGAGACCCGCGCCATTAACCCACCCATTGATCCAGATACTTCGAGTGCTCGCCCAAATATGGCCTGTTCGCGCCCGTGCACAAGGTCAGCAGGTCGCCGTCCAATAAACGTCAGTCCACGTGCATGGTGCACAAACCGACCGGCGCCGCCCTTAATGCCAGCCTGAAGAGAAGCGGCTCGCGTGAGTCACTCACCTCTCTTACGTCGAGCGTCTCCAGCAATATCGTCGCGAAAACTACCGGCGGCAACACCGCGAGGGTAAGATTCACCATGCCAAAGTAAGGGAGAGCCGAGAGGATGCGCAAGGAACGCGGATATGAACACCGCAGCGTTCCCTCCCCTTCCTTAGCGTTCGCCCTCCGCCTCGATCCCACGCGTTTGGTAGTTGTTATCTAGTTGTGTGTAGATTTTGTTGTTGTTCTTATGAATGTTGATACTAACAGCACTTGACCCTCGAGCGAGCTCTTCTCACTCGACGAGGATCGTCGAGATGACGCGGATTCGGCTTTAGCCTTTCGGCAAGTGGCAAGTGGGAAGACGGTTGCAACGAGAAAAAAACGTACAGGAAGTGCGAGAATGTCTCAAGCGCTTTTTACACATTTTTAAAAAAAAAAAAGGCGGACTCGGTCCTTTCAAGCCTATAAAGCCTTGTGCGGACTAAAGTTCATCCTTTTCGCTTGGTGCGTCGCTCGAGGGTCAACATCGCGCTGTGTAAATTGATAGTAATCGCTCTCGCCGCTTTTCTTATAGGCAGCCCGTTTCGTTCCGTCCAATCAGCGATAAACATTGTAACGCAATTAAATTGCACATTAGTGCAATTATTGACGTTATCACGTCGCGCGTGATTACACACATCCTACCTACAATTGGCGTGTTCATAGTTTTTTTTTTTTCTTTTTTTTTTAAAGGTTACTTTTGCAAAGTCTCTGTGCATGGTTTTATCTTCTTCTTTCTTTTTCTTTTCTATCTTTTTCTTGTTTCATCCATTACATCCGACATTCCAGAAGCCTGGCATGCGCACGTCGATACCTGCACGAGGTTCATTGCAGGTGAGACCATAATGACTTGTACATCATCCGATTGATCCCCATTTAACGCAGCCAATTAAGCGATCGCTGCCGATCGACGAGCTCCCATGATTTTTCCCCCTTCTTTTGCCCCCGTCTCTTTCTGTCTCATTCGCAATTATCCCTGTGAAATGTATGAAATAATCTGCCGTAGAACGCGCGCAGATATAGATTAACTACAAATTAGTAGATTTATCGGGCGTATTATGACGTGTGATAGTACATTAGTATAATAATAAAGGATGTAATTAGCGCGGCGCGAGAGCACGATCTCTCGCAATCGCCACTTGCATTTTATTTATTATTTATTCGTCGTTTTATAATTTATATTGTCACAGGAGCTTGTAATGTTATAGTAATATATAGCCGACTTATGTGTATATAATGTTAATAAAATCCTAAGGTCCTTTTTTCTCTCTTTCTCCTTGTGATCTCTTCGCTAATGTAGTCTTTAGATGGATATTTCAATTAGTTCCATGTCGGAGCGCTTTGCGTTCTTCTTTTCTTTTACATGTACATAAATAATGATTAACGCACAATCGGACGTAAATGACGTGTTCATAGTATCGAAGAGTTTCGTACATTTATTGTGACAACTATTGTGTGCGCGAAACAACAGCTATCGATTTTGACGCGACGTAAATGTTACTATTCATTTTGAAAAATACATACCTCGATACGTCTCTCGATTAATTTATCGCGAGGATCTCTCTCGAGGACTGATCTATACGCGAAGAAACGACGACCAGCAGCATCACCGAGACGATTAATCTCGTTGATCTCTCGTTGGTCGGATGATAACGTGATATTGACTACATGATTTGTATTACTAATCGCGCGTTATTATAATTATAAGGCGATCGAAGGGTATCGCCTCTACGTGTCTTACGTGTCTGTTCAGCATCGTTTAAAAGCTCGTCGACAAACGATTAACAACGCGATCGCGAGGCGACTGACACCTGTTGCATAATGTTGGAGCACAGCGCAGAGTAAACAATTAGTTGGCGGGTTCGATCTTGATTAGTTACGATGATGCCTTAATTTTTCGCCCCTCTCCCCTCGCTCTGCAACTTGCGTTGATCATATTCGTTTTATCATTTTCGCAACTGTCAATATCCAAGTGCAAAATTAAGCGCTTAGCTCGGTAGTTTACTTTCATTTAATTTCGCAAGAAACGTACAATGAAAATTGTTTTACTCGCTCGATTATTCGTCTATAAGATCCCACTGCCGCAATTTCGAGTTAGAACCTGGCTCGTGTTTGTAGGAGATTTTGAAGGAAAAGCAGCAGGAAATAGACTTTTTGCGGAAGGAGCGGGATCTGGAGCGCGAGAGGGTCACGAAAGCGGCAAGTCAGGCTGATCAGGCGGAACAATCAGCATTATCGATCAAGCAAGAATACGAAAAGGCAAGTAAATATTTTTGTGACACATTGAATTACATTGTTTTCTTCCTTTTAAACAGGGAAAACTCGTGTTTATATGTTGAAAACACCATGTATTCGGCAACATAAAGCATCGACGTGAAAAATTATAAGCGATTTTTAGCTTTAGCTTTGAAACTTCAAATGTCAAAGAATTTCACATGTTATGAAAGCGACTTGACCGTTTGTGCGTATACATGCGTTGTTCGCGCGTGCGTATGTATGTGTAATTCCGAAATAATAAACGAATTAATTCAATGACATTTCGAGGTATCTCGTCCCGATTTCGATCTCTCTCTCTCTCTCTCTCTCTCTCTCTCTCTCTCTCTCTTCTCTCTCTCTCTCTCTCTCTCTCTCTCTCTCTCTCTCTCTCTCTCTCTCTCTCTCTCTCTCTCTCTCTCTCTGTGTGTGTGTGTGTTTTGGTTCTTATCTTTTTCATCATTTTTATTATTGATGTCCAGTATCGTGAAGATGTACAACAAACGATTAACGAAGCGGAGATCACCGTTTCTAAGCTCCTTGGCGAGAAGAACGCGTTGGTAGTGCAGTTGGAAGAGGAGAAGCGGAAATGTGAGGACCTTCTGTTTCGTTTTGAAGAGGAGTCGGTGAATAAGGACGACATACAGGTGAGTACGTATAAGTGCCGCATTCCAACACATAATCATTGATAAAGCGCAATAAATGGGGGATACATTATAAAAGTATATACTCGGGGAGAACGACCGGTAAGTATATTTGTCTCCAAATTTATGGAATCTGTCTTTTCGGCAAAGAATCTCACGGAACGCGTGTGTCTCTGAGTATTCGATAAAATAGTGGATAATATCGAAATGTTTAATTTTAATGATAATGATGATCTTTGATTTTTTTCCAAAGATGTGCGCTTTAACTGTAATATTCTTAAATTAGTTATAAGCCCTCTACTTAGGATTTCGTATGATATAGTCACTCGACGAATATCGTATCATGCTTTCGATGTGAAATTCGCAATTAATTGAATATACGTCTACGGGGAATAACGGTGGCGGGTAATGTAAGCGGGTAACAATATATGCGCTTGGCTATATATCTTGTCTCGGTAATTTTCTGCAAAAAATATTTTGCGACTCAATATTTCGACAAATCGGTGATTTTTCTCATAACGTCGGTGAAATTATTCTCACTCTCTTAAATTTTGTTTCATCGAATGATGGAATAAATGTGGAATTTTTAGGAAGAGCAGAGAACGTAGTTAGTTCCCTTGGTTAATCTGGCCAACTTATCGTTTATTTTCAGAAAGAGAGATCTGAACAATGTGTGAGTATCCGAAGGTTTGGGCCCGTGGAAGGATTGACGCAGTATTTCGGCACCGCTTGTCTAGTCATCACTCTAGCCATGTCGTTTTGCATTTCGTCGCAATTCTATCAGAGAGCCGCCTGACGTGTATACAAAAACGCGCGGGACGCTAACTTCGTTGTTCATTAACTTTGTCGGCTGTAAACTCCACTAACGCTAAATTACGCCATATCGAGTCGTCAGTTTCCTGAGACGACCACGGTTCATTGCTCATCTCAGCAGATAAGAAAGCAGATAACGAACGAAATTCGAATATTTCTCGAATACTAATGTGTAAAAATTTCCTTAGAATTATTTGATCACGCGTTTTGGTCACGCTCTGTAACCTCAAACGATATATAGAAACACGTTTGAGCTAATAATATTAATTTTAAAATGCTTTGCTATTGCGCAATTAAAAAGAGTATGCCTTACATGCTTTATACACACAAGGATATATTGGTATCATCGTAGGCGTGATACGTTCGTTTGCTATTACTTATTTATTATTTATTTATTTTCTCGCATTGTATTTTTCATATCTTTTTTTTATTTTTTTATTTCTTTTTATTTAATATAATTTGTTTCCTATTCATTTGTTGTCGCACGATTATTAATTTCATATTATTTATCACTCGCTTATACGTGTTATATCATTTATATACATGTGAATATGTATACATGTTTGAGCGTTGAAATTGAATAATATATTTCTTACAAGGGTACACATATAATTTCTTTTTTTCTGTTTTCTGTTTTTTCTCTTGCTTTATTATCCGATTAAACGTCCGATTATCGCACAATGCGTACGATTAAACAATTATAGGCTTCGCGTATCTCAGTGTGTGCTTCTTATTTCTTTAATGTGCGATTTCAAGTGTTAATATGCCGTTATTGTTGTAATCATTGAAAGCGCGACGTTTTAATGTTACAAGATTCACGCTTAGATCGATCGACAAGTTCATTTAAGCAACATGAGTTTTACCAGAAAGGCAAATATTATAATTTCTATTTGTTATTTAGTTGTACATTAACGCTTGAAAACGGACATATTGTACACGACCTCGTCACTCACCGACTAAACTGCTGCCCCTTATCACTAGGTCATAAATACTGTAAATGAAAGTAGGATCAAGGAGCTCGAAAAAGAACTCTCAGAGGAGCGCGAGCGGGTCGTTCAGTTGGAACGTGACAATATCAAGCTCTTTGAAACCGAAGAGGAATTGACTCGGCTTCGTAACGAAATCAGTAGCGTAACGAGTCTACAAAACTCTCAGCTACAAGGTATTTAGATATAGTTACAGACTGAACTAGATTTACTTCCGCTATTAAGCGGAATATATATCCTAGACTTTTTCATTAAATTAGGCAGTTTCCAAACAACGATAAAATAACAAATATACGAATAGCGTGCAGAAAGGAAGTATCGACTCTTCTAGTTTCAGAATTCTTTTCAAAAGCTCATATTTAAGTTTCAATTATTTTATATACATCAGGTGTTATGTAATAAGTACTTCCGGATTTTTCACACACAAATGAAATGAGACGATTGTACTGTGTCATTATAATTTTATAAAACAATATATGCTCCATTTTTATCTATGGTCTCTTATCATCCTTCGTATATATTTTGTTTCATAAAATTATAACAATATAAAAATACAATTATTTCATTTTATCTAAAGGATTCCAAATTACTTACTACACAATCCAATAGTATTTTAATAAAGATAATTTCTTTCTTTAATAAAGATAAAGAAGTTTCTTTATTTACCTCTTTCTTTGAAACTCAATCTTAACCAAAGCATGCTTTTAGATCTGGAGAATCGCAATCAAAGCTTGGAAGAGATAAAAGGCAGCCTCGAGAAAAAACTGCAAGAGAAATTGAGCTTTGCGGACGAGTGCGTAAAACGTATTAGGGAATTGGAAGTCGTACTGAATGAAGCACAACAAGACAACATAACGCACAAAGAGTTTAAAGTTCATCTGAAAAGAGAACTAGAAGCCGCCAATCAAAGATTGCAAGATAGGGAGACACTATTGAAGAACATGAAACTGGAATTCGAGAAGAACACGAACTCGTTGAGCGAAGAGCTGCGGAAATCAAAGGAGATGATTGAAAGAATCGAGCGAGAGAACGTGAGTGAGAAGGACACGTTATTATCTGAGTACCGTCGTACGATCGAGGAGAAAGATCGGTTGATAAAGGTAAAGACTGAAGACCTGGAAAACGAAACCAAGAAGCTGTTAGAGCAGCGGAGTGCTCTGGAGGGCCTAAAGGCCGAGAACGTTAAGTGTATACATGAACTTTCAGAGTCGTTCAAGCAACAGTTGCATATGAAGGACTCGAAAATCGAGGAAATCTTGTTGCAACTTAATCAGAAAACATCCGAAACCGAGAGACTGTTGAGCGAATTATCTGCTCAACGGGAACTGTGTGAAAAGAAAGGCAAAGAACTGGAGAACGCTTTGCGAAAGTTGGAAGGTTCGTTTCATGGAAGTAAAATCATATAAGATAATTGTGAAGAGAAAGAATTTGTATAATATTGAATTGTTAACAAAAAAATAATTGTTTTCTTTATATTTTATATCTGTATAGTTTATATTTATATAATTTTTTATTTACGGATATCTTATATTTATTTAATCTTTTATTTATATGAAGTATTTATATTTCTCCTTTCTTAAAAGGATTTAAGATTTAAGGATATAAGATCTTAATGTGAGATCTTTATAAGTTTTATCATTTTGCAGAATTAAGTACGAAGCTGAAACTAGCTGAGGAAAGTAACAATGTACTCTCAAAACAGATCCAAGATTACAAATCTAAGAGCAACGACAGTGCCAGAATTATTCAAGAGAAACAGAAGCTAGTAAGTATATCTTTCTCTTTTTCTGCCTGTATATGTGCGAATGTAACACTCGCGATTTCATCTTCTTTGTGTTGTCACTTTAGGAACAAAACCTGGCTAGTCGGGTTGCATCAGAAGAGAAGTCTACCGTGCAACTAAACAAGTTGAGTGAGGAACTAAAAGTGAAAGATAAAGAACTCGCGGAACTGCGTAACGCTACTATGGTACAAATACAAGAAATCACTAAACGCTTTGAGTCGCAAATTAATGACAAAATCAAGTACATCGACGAGATAAATGCGGACGTCGCGCAGAAGGTCCTGGTGCTTGCCAAGTTGGAGAAGGACATCGCCGAACTGAAAGCGGTTATTATAAGCAAGGATGAGCAGATAAAACATCTGCTCGAAAAGACCTCGGGTAAAGTCAGACATAAATCATATTTCATGATATAAATTGTGCATTCATTTAAATGTAACTCGGTCCTTGGTGTACTCATTAGAATTACAAGATGCTCTCACGCTGTCCGAGCAAACGAAAACAAATTTGGAGAGCGAGCTTCGCGTGTTTGAATCCAATGCACAATCTTTGAATCAGCAAGTTGCCAGAGCAGAAGAGAAAATATCGCAACTTCTGTCTCAGAAGGAGAAACTGGTCAGTATAAGAATTGTTCAGCTTTTTGATTCCGCAAATTTTTCTTTCAACATTATCCTTTTATCTTTTCATTTTAAATTCTTCATTTTAAATTCTAATCTCATAGGAGCAAAATAATTGGTTAAAATATCTTGACCGATAGGAATCTGACACAGCTAGTTCAATCAGCAGTTCCGCCAACTCGTCGGAACAACTCTCGAGGTACAATGAGAATCTGCGACAACGGGAGAAAGAATTGGACGAAGCTCACGAGAAAGTCTTCCAGATGGATAATACTTTGAAGCTGACGCAGGAGAAATTATCGAAAATTGAACTGGAAATGAATAAAAGTGCCGCATTAGTAGAACAATTGCGTTCGGAAAAGTCAAGTTTAGAATTGCAAATGAGTGACGCGAAAAAATCAAACGCCGACTATGCTGAAAGGACTCGCGAATTCCAGCAAAAAGAGAACGAATTGCTGCTGAAGATCGATGAAGGTGAATGTGCCAAGGAAAAGTTGGCGGACAGATCGCGCGAGGTTACCAGCCTTTTAGAACAATTAAAGCACAGCGAAGAACAAATTACTGCTCTTCGAAGTCAGTGCGAAAATCTGCAAAAATCCCATGAAGAAGAGACATCTTCGCTGCGAAAAGAGATCGCTGGCATGTTATCCGAATTATTGACATCCCGAGATGAGATGAAAAATTTACAGAAATTGAAGAACAAGTTGGAGGCCGACCAAAGCGCGAATCGATGGACAATCGAGGAGCTGACGGAAAAAATGCATATTGAATCTGAGAACGCATTAAAATTATTAAATTCAGTTCAGGAAAAAGATTCGAAGCTTCATGACATGGAAAATAAATTGGCAGAGTTGCAGAGGATGAACGACGCTTTGTCTACCGATAAAGAAGCGTGCGATAAGAATTTAACCTCATCATTAAACAGCTTGACCAGCATGATAGAAGAGTTGAAGAACAAGTTAAAGAACGCGGAAGAAACAATTGAAAACAAGGCGGACAGACTATTGGAGGCGAAAGTGGAAGTGGAAAAATGTCACACACAAATTGCTGAACTGAACACCGCAGTCTCCTCCATGCGAGAGGAGCAAATGCGTAATGCTGACGAATTGAAGAACGCACAAGAAACACTTACGCAACAACAAAGCATAATAAACGAACTAACAAAGACTAAGGTCATTTTAGAAAATTCCATGAAGTCACTGGAGACGCAGTTGTCGAATGCGGAGGAAGAAATACAGAAAAAGGACAAACTGTTAACGAAAATGGAAATTGAAATGAAGGAATCAGACGCTTTAAAAACAGAAGAGATACTGAAGCTACGGAATATATTTGAATCCGAAGTAGTAGTACGACAAAAGGAGAATGAAGAAACGAACAAGCGAAATAAAGAACTCGAAGAGCAGCTACAACGATCCCAGGATCTTTTTGACAAGCAGATAGCCGATCGGGATGAAAAGGAAACCGCTATCGGCGATCTGCGAGTACAGGTGAAAGTTTTGAAAGATGCACAAGTGGAGAGGGCAAAAGCGGAACAACAATTACGCAACGAGGAAATCAAGCAGAAGCAGAACGAGTTAAGTGGCGCGAATAAGCGGATCAATGAACTACAGAGCATGGTATACACATTGGAGAAAAGGCTGAGGGAACAAGAGACGAAGTCAGCGGATCTAGCGAAAACCATGGAGTGCAATGAGCAAGAAGTAGACAAGAACGTGCAAAACCTCATGGAGAAGCTGAATGTTGCTAAAGTGGAAGAGACGCGACTCCTGGACGAGTTAAGTCGGTTGTGAGTATGCTGTAGGATGTCTTCGTTGCACTGAACATTGTTTCGTTTTTAACACAAAGAGAGGGAGAACGAAGAAGATAAAGAAAGATAGATAGATAGAGGTAGGAGGGAAAGAAGACTTTTTTTTATATTTTATTCAGTCATATATTTTACAGGGAAAAAGAAAATAAGCAAGTTACTGCAAAATGGATAGAAGCAACAAATCAGTTGAAACTGACGCATGAAAATATGAAAAATACTTTTGATGTAAGTACTGTCTCTCTAAATTAATATGGAAATAACAATTTAACAATATTATATCTTTAATTTATTACTTGATTTATTATTTTCATCAACGATAGTACATAAAATACTAAAATAGTTCCATACAGACATATTATATATAAAAGATTATTGATCTGTGTATTTAGGCAACAGGAGACATAAGGCAACATATCGGTACGTTACTCGTAATTATTATTATAATAAAAAGAAAAAGCGATGGCGATATAATATCGACTGATCTCTTCTAGTTACGAAGGATGCAGATATCGCGAAATTACAGGAAGAAAATGACACCGCTAAGAGTCAAATAGACTTTTTGAACTCTGTAATAGTCGATATGCAACGTAAGAATGAAACTCTTCTATGTAAAATCGAAGTCCTCGAGATGGGAATACCAACAAACGAGGCCGACGACTACAATCGGTACAGCAAAAATTTTATATTTATAAAATATAATTTCTTTCTTAAATTACAGTATAATAAGTAGTTAGAGTTTGTGCTTGACAGAAGTACTTTGGACAAACGAATGGCGGTGCCTCGTATGTTCTGTGATATTTGCGATCAGTTTGATCTGCACGAAACGGAGGACTGTCCTCGACAGGCTCAAGATTTCTCGGAAAGCACCGAGAAATTGCCGAAATCATCGAAAAAGCAATCGGTGGAACGACCGTACTGCGAAAACTGCGAGAGTAAGATTCATCATCTATGTAATCGTTAAATTATCTAAACAGTGAAATATATTTAGAAAAATATATAGAAGATATAAATTTTTCAAGTTAAATTGAAGTCAAAATTAACATTCTTTTGTCAATTTATATCTCATTATAATTACAAATTTAAGTTGAATAAGATATAATTCTGTTCGAAATTAAATTTTATTATGATATTATATTTTATCGAAATATTTGTCTTATATTTATATTCTCATTTTTTACAGCTATTATCTTCTCGAAAATTTTATTAATAATTGCTACTAATACTTTTTTTCTTGTTGATTGCAGTGTTTGGACATGACACGCGTGATTGTGACGACACCGAAACATTTTAACGTTATATTATTGTTCGTAAACCAATACGATCCATTGCTTGCCAAGTATCTCGTATCTGTAAAGAGATCTGTTAGACTTTACAGAGTATATTTTTGTATGGTGAATTTCTCAATTGAATTCGAATAAGTCTTCCCACATAGAATGGACATCGGCATAGAACTTCCCGATGTATTATAAAAATTTATGTTCCCTTCAAATGACGTTATTCCCACATAAATTAAAATGTCCTTTACTAAAATTTAAGAAGTTTAATAATTGTTATATCATTTTGTCTTATTACAGTTAGATTAGACATTAATTTATTTTTTAATAATTTAATAATGATAACAATTGTTTTCTATTCAATTGTTTTTAATATTCCATTTGAAGGGAACATACATTTGTTTTCCAGCTTTAACCTGTTTTGTAACATCGAGACGAATTATGTATAATTTTGTGTATATACTAGATACTCGAATTAACATTTAATTCTAATATTTATTCTCCGCATTTCGAGCGGCTTTAAAGAAAAAAATAGTTCCTGTAATACCAACTATAGTAAAAGCGCAGTTTACAATATAAGACTATTCGATTAATCGACGCTTCTAATTCGACCGCAATATATTCGGCTTTCCACTTTACAGTCTTCGTCTAATACGTAATGAAAAAAAAAAAAAAACTAGCATGTCTCAAAAGTTTAACGATTAATGTCGATTTTTACAAATACAATGACTTGCCATTGTCTTGCTTTTCGCTATGACATTTAGGATCGAAACCAATATATTTTCTAAATTAATTGTACTGTTGTAACATGTGATATGCCTAGGAATCGCAAATAATGCTTTGTAGATAAAAATAAATTGAATCTTCAGCAATAGTTATAAAAAAAGTGGGATCTTCAATAATGATTCTTACTTAAGCAGCATAAGCTTTCTGATAAGTAATGTTATTTAAAGAAAAATGTTGCAAGGAAAGTTAAAGACGATATTAAAATTTTGTATTTGTGTATGCGTACGTGTGCATACGCGTATAAGCGCACGGGTGTCTCGCTCATGTATATTACAGGAATGATCGCATATTTTATATAAAAAACTGGAAAGCTCCTTACAATTTTTGAATATTTTTAATACTAACCGAAATATTTTTTTGCAAGTTGAAATTTAAAAAATTTCTCCAATGAAACGCTACGTTTACGCGCCACGCACGACAATTCGCAAAAAGAGCGGAACCACAGATTTTCCTTATTTCCTCTGTTACTTGCATCGAAGCTTGAGCGTGACATTTTGAATATTTATTAAAGTTGTGTTGTTTTAATATTCGCTGACAGAACTGGAAATTCATAATTCATATCACGTCTATTCTAAAATTTCAACACTGGCAGCGAATATAGGAATCGGGGGGGCTCGATTCCTGACGGCGTGCGAGATGCGCATGCGAAAATCTATATTATATGTAACGTGAACTGTACATTTTTGCATACGCATCTCGCACGCCGTCAGGAATCGAGCCCCGGAACGCATCTAAAGTTCTTAATCCCTCATCGCGGGATTCTTGATTGATGTCATTAGAAGAGAAAACATATGCCCAAAATTCTGACGTGCAATTTCCAAATAAAAAGATATTTGTATGAAAGAATACTTCAGATTACAACATGTTTATAACCGCCTGCGGAGCACGCCTGCGCAGTGACTCACAACGATAAACGAAAAATGACATATACGAGGTGTCAAATAAGTACGCGTTGGGTGCATTCAGTACTACAACCGCTCACTGAGCGCTAAATGAGCTCTTGCATCTGATTGGTGTATATTTTTAAATCTAAAGGTATATACCAATCAGATGCAAGAGCTCACTTAGCGCTCAGTGAGCGGTTGTAGTACTGAATGCGCCCTATGCACCCATTGACGTTCGCGTGGAAGATGTTCCGCAGGACTCGCCGTGGCTGCGCAGTGTGGATTTGAATGGATCTTCCTGATGGAACCGCCATCAGGAAGATTGAAAGTTCGCTTTTGGTAATGAGGTAAGTAGAAAAATCTGCGACTTCGCGCTCTTGAGTGAACTATCGAGCGTGCAACGCACAAACTGTAGCTTTTGATTGGAGACATTATTCAAACTTCAACTTACAATATCTCGGTTAATATTAAAAATATTCGAAACTGTAAAGGATGTTTTGACTCAGTTCATATATAAAATAATATATTTCTTATAACATATATGTGTGTGACCGAGATATCTTGTATACAGATGTTCACCACAACACGTAGCAAAGCTCTTGTACGAATAGAATGAGTTACAACAAATAGAAAAGTCCTCTTCCATCATAAGCGGCGCCAAAACTATTCATGCGGGCCACAGGTGAGCCAGTGTTTTTATGGATGGGTCATATTTATTATACAGGGTGTTTGATAGCTGATCATGCAGACGAAAGTTGGAGATAGATTGGGTGTAGCCGAGAAGAAAAGTCATGTACCATATAATGTCAAATGGGCAATAGTTACCGACTTATTAATTAAAATATGTGAGCCAACGAGCGCGTAGAGAGCGGAGGGCGGCCGCAGTAAGCACGTAGACATTTGATACAGGCGGAGTCAGCGAGTGACGGTAGGCAAGCGCGCGCGGCGAGGGGCAACATAAACGACAAGAGGCGAGCGCGCGCGACGAGGAGCGAGCGAGCGCGACGAAGAGCGAGCGAGCGCGAACGACGAGGAGCGAGCGAGCTATAAGGAAAAAGCTAGAAAGAAAAAGCTCGCTCGCTCCTCGTCGCGCGCGATCGCCTCTTGTCGCTTACGTTGCCCCTCGCCGCGCGCGCTTGCCTACCGTCACTCGCTGACTCCGCCTGTATCAAATGTCTACGTGCTTACTGCGGCCGCCCTCCGCTCTCTACGCGCTCGTTGGCTCACACATTTTAATTAATAAGTCGGTAACTATTGCTCATTTGACATTATATGGTACATGACTTTTCTTCTCGGCTATATCCAATCTATCTCCAACTTTCGTCTGCATGATCAGCTATCAAACACCGTGTATATTATATATCATTTTATCATTGACTTTAATGTTTCTAACCGTTGCACTTTGTCTCTAGGAGAAATTAATTATGAAGATAGAATTTAAAATTATATTGTAGAATTTTAGTTATAAAAATAATTTCATATAAAAAAGCTGAAAACTTGGACAGAATAGGACAGCATAATTATGCTAAAATTTTCTAAAATTTTAAGGTGGGCCAACGTATTTTTAGATGGGCCAGGGCTCATTTAAACCCACCCTTGGCGTCGCCTTTTTTTTTGTTAACGGGGGAAAATCCTCATTCCTCTCCCCTTGGGGGGGGGGGGCGGGGTTATGCCGGACTCTTACCGGCTAAAACCCTCCCAGGGTGCCTACCAAGCGGGCCGGAGTGAAGGAGTCGGGGGAACTGCGCTGACATTCCCTCCCCAACCCTTGGCACCGCCTATATCTTCCATTTTCTTAAATAACCATGTAAAATTTCAAGTTATTAGTGAAAGAGTATTGACGAATCAGCGTGTGCGATGTGGTTATTTTAAAAATAAGATATTTAGATATTTACGTGTGTATGTGTGCGTGTGCGTGTGCGTGTGTGTGTGTGTGTGCGTCGCATAGAAAATGATTGACCGCGTGAATGACTCCTATTAATGTTAGATAACTATAACAATAATCAATGTTACAACCAAAAATTGTTTGTATGCCGCTTACATCTCTTCTATTTTTCGCTGTCATTCACCATTAATCGCTGTTAAGAAACAATTACGCAAAGCCATTTTTTATCGCGACATCCCACTTTGATTCACGCACTTTGATTCTTCAATTTTCTTCCACAAATAGCTCAAAAACGTAGTTGTTCAGAAAAGTTCAGTACAGGACTTTACTATTCATTTTTTCATTTTGATCCGTTCTATCCGCACATGATTTTTATCTCTATAATATATACAGGGTGTCCGGAATGTGATCATTAATATTTTGTGTACTGGTAGATTGGGTGTAGCCGAGAAGAAAAGTCACGCACCATAATGTCAAATTGGCAATAGTTATCGAGTTATTAATTGAAATATGTGAGCCAACGAGCGCGTAGAGAGCGGAGGGCGGCCGCAGTAAGCACGTAGACATTTGGTACAAGCAGAGTCAGCGAGCGGCGATAGGCGAGCGCGCGCGGCGAGAGGCAACTTAAGCGACAAGGAGCTTTTTCCTTATAGCTCGCTCGCTCGCTCTTCGTCGCGTTCGCTCGCCTCTTGTTTGTCGCTTACGTTGCCCCTCGCCGCGCGCGCGCTCGCCTATCGCCGCTCGCTAACTCCGCCTGTACCAAATGTCTACGTGCTTACTGCGGCCGCCCTTTGCCCTCTACGCGCTCGTTGGCTCACATATTTTAATTAATAATTCGGTAACTATTGCCAATTTGACATTATGGTACATGACTTTTCTTCTCAGCTACACCCAATCTGTCTCCAACTTTCGTCTGCATGATAAGCTTTCAAACACCCTGTACATATATTTTATCTATATAAGACACTATACACACACACACACACACACACACACACACACACACGCACACACACACACACATGTAAATATCTAAATATCTTATTTTTAAAATAAGTCCATATATTTCGGTTCCTTTTTTCTAATTTATATTTTTACCTTTAATCATTGTAACGAACAAGTAAACTTTCGATGTACTGCATACATGTTATGTATATATTTTTATAAATATAATTAATTGCAAACAGATATGTCAGATAAAAGAGAGATACAATTTGATATATATTTGAATTTTATTTATAAAACATGTTATATAATATATGTATATTACCGCCGAATGTTTTAACTGTTACATAATTAAAAGTAAAATTGTAAATTAGAACAAGTATTAAATTGAAATAAAGATATAATGACCAGTTTTGAAATAGAATTGCTGATAATGGATAATGGACTTTAGGAATACATGTGTGGGCAGAAAAAGAGAGTACAGGGCATTTTTATATATTATAATAAAATTTTGCGCTCTCATTACATATATTCTATTATAAAATTCATTTTCATTTTTACCAATATGTTAAATATATTTCACACTACAATTAATATAACTTATAATTCAATTTTGAACGTAGAATTTGGAATAATAACAATAAACTTTTTATTTTTTCAAGAATTAATAGTTTCTATAACTTGTTCCCGTGACTTATAATTTCATTATATTTTCTCTTTAGGATATGTTTCATGGAAGATGAATTTTTCTTTTCTATATATATTCTTTAGTGTGTAAATCAATATTTTATAGAATACAAATTTATAACACTTTTGCCTGACGATTGCTTCTGCGAATTTAGGCGCGATATATTTGCTCTAGCTTAAAAAAATTATATGTATATATAAAACTCTAAGACTCTGCTCTAGAAGAAATATATCTATCAGTTCCTTGCATAGCACGGAATAATCGTGTCAAAATATACATCTCTAATTCGTTTATATGCGTACTGTCTTTTTATTCTTATCCGGTTTAGGTTTATGCTAATAAAATCCTTAATGTGAAAAGTTTAAAATGAACAGTTGTGTTACGATATTACGTAAAATCGAGTTGAGCAAAATTAAAACGGCAATTTTTTTTTAACTGTTATCCATTTGTTCAGTTCATTTTCGCGTAATATCGCTAGTTATATGTAAATCCCAAGAATAATGCAAAGTGAAAAGAAAAAGTGATTAATGTAATTATTGATACGTCGACGGTGATTGTCCATCGGTTACACCCTGCGCTGCCAATTCCGCGAGTGTTCTTTCGAGGTAACTCATGTCGGGGTAACCATGGCCGGACGTAGACGGACCTAGCTCAGTCTTATGATGGATCTCATTCCAGGTGACGACGTCTTCGCGGCCAGTAGTCACCGATCGGCCGATCGTGAAAATTAGTCTACGTTCAAATGCGATTTGCAATAATCTCAACACTCGGCGACCGAGACTATTATCCGGCAGGTAACACACTCGAGGAAAGCCCACGGCATAGTAAGCTTGGCCAGGATTAGGATGCTCGTTAGTCTGAATCCCGGACGGAATGCTGAAAGATAATTAATGTAAGATTAAGATCAATATACAAGCGATTTTACTGTTAGTTCAAATTTTAATTTAATCTCAATAATATTTTCAGATTGCGCGAATCTTCTGAAAAACGATAAATATTGTTAATGATATATTTGACAAGTATCGGAAACAATAAATAAATATTCACTGACAACATACTCATAAGTAATTTGTATAGTATTGGTGTTTGAAAAACCCGGCAGTGCGCGCGGTATTCGCGTCCAGTTCATCGTTCCTGGTGGTTGATTGCCTCGCTTTTCGCCGTAGATCATACGACAGACTGGACACTGTATATACATGGGAGGTTGCTGACAGTTGAGCATCGCGTTCAAGCACGCCAAATGTAGTCTGTGCCTACATCGTGTCAGCTCCACCGTCAGTGGCTCAGGAGCACCCAAGCATACTGGACATGAATCAGAGCCGTCGCTCTCGACCACTTTTACATACTGAGATATCACGTCCGATGTAACATCCACACCTGTGAAAAATGTTTAAAAGATGAAATATAAATAATATTCAATATCTAGGCACGCAAAAAAAGGAAATGGCCATCGATCTAGAAGTATATGTATAAATTTGGAGATGTAAGTGTAAATATTAAAAATAAGTGGAATGACAAACATGCAAAAGTGCGTCTCTCTAAACGCACCGAGGGCAGAATCTTTGAATGCGTCGTCGCTTCCGACACTACTGTCCAACAAATCCACTGGATTCTCATGACTCAGATACGTCGACACAGTATCTACACTCGGCCTGCGGCCACTTTTGGTGCTACTAGAATCCATATCTAAAACTGTATCCCAGGTTTTTCTTTTCTGACCAGATTCCATGTTTGCCACTGGATTGTTGGTCTCAATGCCATGTTTACTGCCAAAGATATTGAAATTGCTCAAGATAACACGTGCAATATTCGTCGGACTATTCTCTCCACTTTTACCCTAAACAAATTAATAATAGATATATTTGGAAATAAATTTCTATTTATAATTTATAATAAATTATAATTTTCTCATTCATAATTACATGTATTACCTTCTTGCTACCTTTCTTTGTACTTCCGTTGGACGACTTTTTATGTGTGACTTTAACAGTTGAATTTTTAATTGACGTAGATCTCCTGCTACCAGAAGTGACTTGCAGTTCCTCCAGAGCAACTTTGACTAGAGGATAGGGTGCTTGCTGTATACGCTTTATAGGCCTTACATAGCCGGTGCAACATCTCACTTGGGTCAGATTGCAGAAGTTAATGATATAGGGGAAACCTAGATAAGTCTTGGAGACATCAATAGTTTTATCACCCTAACAAAAGAGAAAAGTTTTACTAGGAAAATAATTGCAAAATTGTTTAATTTACAGCAACCTTTAACTTACTCTTGCCCATGCTTCTTCTATGAGACATTGCACTTCCATGTCATAAGTATGCCAGTCATCCGAATCACCTGCCCATTCCCATTTGGCACCTTTGCCGGCTGGTGAGCCAGGCAGATAAAACTTTCTCCTTACATTGTATGTCTCATCGCCATCATCGCTGCATTGTGTCTTAGTTTTCAGATTTATATAATATCTAATATAACAACATCGGTTCCTTTTGATAATATTTTTATTATATATAATTTTACTTTATATGTAACCTCTACTTGTACTTTATAATTATTATAGTCGTTCGTTTGTTGTTTTAAGAAGAGTGAGAGGGAAACAGACCTATGTTATTTTACGTAAACGAACCTGTCAAGCGTAGGATCCGCATCGTGAAGGAAGACACGAGTGAGCTTCTTGCAATGGGCCCGCTCAAGAAGTTGCGATACAGCTGGACTGTACGGTCGCCACCGTCCGTGACGGTTCTCCCACTCCCATACGACCACCGCGTGCCCGTGCTCCTGCCCCTGGGCACTCATCCTCTCCACCACTACCAACCCTCGCTACCTCCCACACTCTTATTCTTCCACACAGCTCTCACTGTGGAATTTCACACGCACGTGCCACGCACACTTGTACAGCAGGAGCGTGGGAACATTTTTGAGTTTTCCCACGGTCGTATCGTACGCGTCGTCGTTCTCCACGGCGATGACAATGAATATTATCAATCTATCTCTATTTTCACCTGCAAATTAAACTTTTCGCTCACCGTGAAATCACCAGAACCCACCGTGAAAACACCAATATCTACGAAATCGCATAAAAATCGCAACTCTCTTCAATACCAAAAGAAACGATGCACACTGGGTAAACTGAAAACTGGTATAACCATAGACATATATAGATAGACTGCGCGTCCCGTGAGAGGACTTGAAGACAACATTAAAGTGAGAGGAGCGATAGCTGAGTGAGTGTGCCTCTGTCGAACATGTATCTTGGTGGGGCAAGCCGAAGAGGAGAATAGGAGGTAGGAGGACAGTTGTACGAGCTATGTACAAAGGTTATGGTTCGCAAATCAATTGACCTTGCTAGATTTAAACTCTCTGCTTGTTTTAATCACTGTTACGGCTTATCTGAAAAAATAGAATAGAACAGAGAACACCTCGAAACATTTGTAGCGGTCGCTGGACCGCACCCGACGTTACCTCTCCCCTTGTGTCGTTTTCACCGTTTTCACCCCTCTCCTAACACAGAGCGAGAGAGAGCCTGCCTCACATAATAGCTCTGTCCTCTAATGTAGTCTTCCCAGCGTACCCATAAGGATGCGCAGTCTATCTATATAAGTCTGGGGGTATAACCAACTATCTGGCGCCATCTAGCAAGGTTGTACTACATTAAAGGCTATTTTTAGCAAAGGTCTGTTCTGAAATCGGTCTCAAAAACTTTGGTTTTGGTTATAAAGTTAGTAGGTCTTAGGCCGGTATTCATAGTCAAATCTTATATTTAAGACCGTCTTAAGTACATTTTCAGATGCTGTGCAAATTATTTCATTGGCTATGGGCTATATCTGAAAGTGAACTTAAGACAGTCTTAAATATAAGTCCTGGTCTACAATAGATGATTTAAGCTTTAATGTATAAGAAATTAATCAGCGGCAGTCGATTATTTTCCTCACATTCTACTGTAATTGGTTAATTTCTTATAGCTTAAAGCTTAAATCATCTATTGTAGACCAGGGCTAAAGCGGCGTCTACAATGAAAATTTAAGGCGTAAGATTTAAGCTTTACGCCTTAAGCCATAAGCGTGGTCTACAATGGCCGTAAGCAGTAAGAAGTAAGCGTAGAACTTAGCGTAGAAATAGAAATAGTAAGAAATGGACCAACTACAGTTGATTATTTTTGTCATAATCGACTGTGATTGGTTTACTTCTTGCCGCTTACGCTTACTTCTTATTGCTTACTGTTATTGTAGACCACATTCAGACTAAAGGCTCGTCTACATTAGCTGTAAGAGTAAGGCTGTAAGGTTGCAAGACACGAAATGAAATATTTTCATTCGCTGACAGCTTACGTTACAGCCTTACAGCCTTACTCTTACAGCTAATGTAGACGAGCCTAAGGTTGCTGTGAGGTTGCAAGACACGAAATGAAATATTTTCATTCGCTGACAGCTTACGTTACAGCCTTATAGCCTTACTCCTACAACTATTGTAGACGAGCCTTAAAGGTCATTCTACAATGAGGTGTAGTAGTATGCAGTAGGCAAATTGACCAATCACGATCGATTGTTCTCTTTACGATCGAAGAAAAATCGACTGTGATTGGTCAACTTGCCTACTGCATACTACTACAACCTCATTGTAGAATGACCTTAAAGCGTCGTCTACAATGGCAGTAAGCAGTAAGAAGTAAGGGTGAACAGTAAGAAATGGACCAACCACAGTTGATTATCTTTGTCATAATCGACTGTGATTGGTTTATTTCTTACCGCTCACGCTTACTTCTTACTGCTTACTGCCATTGTAGACGACGCTTTAGACTTAAAGCCATCACACACAAACGAACTTAAGCAGTAAGACGTAAGACGTAAGACGTAAGCAGTAAGCAAATCGACCAATCACAATCGAAACTTAAAGACGCCATTTTAAAACTTACGAGAATAATTGATTGTGATTGGTCAGTACTGCTTACGTTCTATTGTGTGTGATGGCCTTTAAGCTGTAAAGTTGTAGTGTCTACAACGAATTTGACTTCGCGAGAGCGCTGCGTGCATAAGCAGACCACTCACGCGACGCGTTGTGGATTTGTGAGGGACTAGGCGGTTTCCCTCTTGCCGACGAGCACCGACGAGTGCGCCGGAAAGCAGCGCGACCGGCATGAAGCGATGGTTTGGTCGCGAACACGCACTATAGTTATTTATTGAAATGAAGTATCGTGGTACATATGCATATAACCTCTAGCTATAAATTTCAATTTGATTAATTGATAATCATTTCAACATTATCGTCCAATTATTTTTAATCTTAAGGATAATACAACATGCAAGTGTAAGTTATTAAATTTAGCGTTTATTTGATTTTTATCTTATATACGAAAATAACATGTTTCTTTCAGGGTAGAAAGTTGCTCTGCCTATTTGAGCAATTATGAAGTTTTAGACCTTATACAAAATGTAGAATCCAGTGAGAAGTTCAAGAATTTAGCAACTATTACTTTCCTAACAAAGGGATACCTAGGAAGTACACCATGTATAAAACAGAACCCAGAAAAGATTAAGAAGTTCTTACAGGCAATAGGATCTTTTAACTTAACTAAATGCGAGAAACTTACTCTTCTAAATCTTTGTCCTACAACTGCGCTTGAAATACAATTGGTAAGGTTTATTTTTTAGTGTTTTAATAACTGAAGTACTATAAGTTTATATAAGAAATTTATATAATTATCTTTTAAATAATTATATGATTGAAAACAGATTGTAGAGGACAGTGAGGACCGACTGTCAGAAGAAGATGTTACGGCTGTGTTACAAATTATTGCCAACTTGCGAGAAAGTGAACAAGATACTGAACATATTTAATTTCTAGGCCTTGACATGTTTATATTTTTATGTACATTTTTTTATTCATGTAGTAAATATGAATAGAAATACCATAATATTTAAATACAATGATATAGTATAAATAACCTTATTATCTTTTTTGATCCCCAAGATCATCTATAGAGTCTTCATCAATCTAAATAAAAAAAAATGAAATTCTATAAATTTAGAATTTTTAGCGAGACAAAATGTATTTTAGATAATTTATTAGCTAATTAAGCAGCTAGTGGTCTTTGGAGAAAGAGAGTATAGATTTGACTTACTTGCGGCCACTTTTCTGGTATCACTTCAAACAGATCATCCTTGATATCTCCTTGTATGACAATTTCATCATCTCCAGTTACACTGGAGCCACAGGCAAATTTGCTACCAAAAAATTTTGCTGCTACCTTCAAGTCTATATCTGTAGAAAGTCCAAAAAATTAAAATCATGTCATTAGAATTTCTCAGTGCTAAATAATTTAAACTCATTCAAATTTAAATTATCTTTACATTCATGAAATCATAATTCAATAATATTATGTATTTCAAGTTTTAATAATAAATATTATTAGAGTATTATTTTTAGTAGTATTAAATATATTTAGTAGTAATATTAAATGCATTTAGTAATGTATGCATTTTACTAGTGCAATAATTTTATTAATTTAGCAAATTACCGAAAGTGCTGAGGCCAGTTACAACAGTGACAGATTTTTTCTTTCCTCTAGGTGCTCTGGAGACAGTTACTAATCGTGGCACATCTTCCTTCTTCTTCGTCTTTAACATGCCCTTACCACCTCGTTTCTGACGTTTCTTCTCATCTTCACCTCCACCAGCTTCTGTAGAACCATCCTCCACAGCTGATCAAAACACAAACCATTAAGTTAGAAATTCCAATAATTGTTATAAAGATTATCGATCTTTTATAATTACCTAGTTTTACTTTTTCAAACTCAGTAGGCAGATTTCTCTCCAGCCATTGTTTGCATTTGTCATACTCAGGATAATATTCGCAATACTGTGAATTAAAAATCCAATTGTCAAATTTTATGGTCACATATTGACTAAAAATTTACTATCTCTTTGATAGATTTTATATATATATATATATATATAAAGTAAATACTTTTTTATAAGAAAACTTTAAAGCATAAAACAGGTACATAAAGTTAAAGACAGTTATATAAGTTATAATTAAGTTCTATCTATTAATCGCTATTAAACTTTCTGTGTTCATCTTATTTTTAAGATTATTGTTCGATGAAATTTACCTCGATAGGAAGGGAGCAATTTCCGCAATAAAGGACCTGAATTGGATATGTAATGTTAGGATCTGGTCCTAATCGAAGATCCGATTGTACTTCCGTTGTCATTCTTACAACGTTTAACTTTACTTTTACAGGCGGTCTTTATTAGAACAACTATTTTAAAGAGCCTTTCAGTTTGATCTATACAACCGGTGTCTATGCTATCCGTGCTATTGGAAACGTGACACTTTTACCTTCCGCAAATAAACACCATGCGCCGTTGTTAAGGCCTAGGGGAGAAACTTGTGGAGACCTCTAATGGAGGACTGTAAACTAAGAATCCGTATTTTTCATTTAAAAAAGATTTACATATAGAGAGAATTATCTTCTAGTTATATTTGTGAAACGCATGCAAAATTAGATAATTCAGATTCACTGAAATTCAGACCATCTTTATTTTTATTAAATCATAATATAATTGTGTTATACATTTCGAGATTTAATAATAATTAAATATCAATCAGTAATATTTTCTTTAATAATTGAATGCACTTTTTTTCGTACTTTTCTATGTTAAATTTAAGTAGTTGTATAAGTAAATAACGTTCAGTTAAATTTGTTAAATTAAATTTAATATTTTTACATAATTGGTTATTTTGAGAACAGAAAGATAAGCAATGAAAGAAAATATATATACATTCTAAAGTTATATATATTCTATATATTCTAAAGTTTATTCCATTTCTGTACATTTTTTTCTTGTAAAATTTTTAATTAGATATACTACCTATATATACTACTTTAACATCTTTAAAGCATATATATACATATATATATATGTTTTCCTTTAGCACTATATATATAAATAGAAGGGCAATTTTTTAATACAAGAAAAGAAAACATTTATAATCTTCAACTAATATTTTATTTGTCGTACAAATTCGTCGAATATACTTTGCGACATTTTTCAATTTCTCTTTCGATGAAAAAAGTGTGTCTCGAGAAAAATAAGTATAGTTTCTGTCCTGATCCTCAAATAATAGAAGTTGTATGTGAAAATCTTATAATGAAAATCGCTATTAGTTTAATTCTCTTTCTTTCTTTCTCTCTTTGAAAAGATAGATACATTAGGATTTTTAGACTCTCTAAAAAGAAAACTGCTAAATTATAAAAAAAAAGATCAAACAGATTTATTAAATAAAATTAAGAAATATATGAAATAGTAAATCAATGTGCTTAAAGTATAGATTTAACAGTTTGATAGGATTGAACAAGAAAAATGAGAAAATTTTATAATTAAAAGAATTAGAAATTTTAATAATTCCTTCTTTTCCACTAGAGATAAAATCAATACACTATATGCAGTTGAATTTAACGATTTTGGTTGCGAATTGTTTAAGACTATGTCACGATTTTCCGAATCGATAACTCGCAATAAATAATCGATAATAAAATCTGATATTACAAATTAAGAAAGATTTAAACAGCTTATTAATTTCATTTAATTTAATAGCTTGTGACATCCGAAAACTGATATTGCACATTACAACCAATTGGTCATCAAATAGAGAATTTCTGGTTTCTTGAAGAAAGCAGTTTGGAATTTGTAGTAATTCTCTATTCGATGGCCAACTAATACATCCGATAATTTTCCATAAATTAATTATTAGTCTCTGATTGCAATATTAATCTTACATATAAATACGAGTATACGTCACGGATATAAATAAAATAAAAATATGTAAAATTTGTTACCTTTGATTCATTAAATTTAAAGCATTTTATTTTGGCACATTTTCGTTAGAATAAACTTTAATAAGATCAAAGGATTCGATTAGTATTGGCAGTTTTTTCAAATATAAATCTAATATCATCACATTATTTGTGTTCGAAGCGGAACTTCTCTTTTTTCGACACTATTAATTGCCAAACTTGTTATGGCGTAATGGCGATTATCGTCGTTCGTCATTTATGACACACCGATGAATTTTAGATTATACGCATTTAATATAGTATAGAGCCATCGCTGTAAAATATCACTTAAGAAACACGTTCTATAATTCGACGCTACGATGAAATTACATTTACTATTACATCGCGATATCAAGCGATATTATATCGAGTGTAAAAAAAATTCAACAGTCTGTTGCGGTCCGCGCGAACCTCGCGTCTCTTTCGTTGCAATTCCACAATTGCAAATTCCATCTGCAATTCTGTATCTTCGCACGATCTCCGTGTCGCTGTCATAGTCGCTTCATTCCAAATATCGGAAGCACGTAAGAACGTAGCTAAGAACAGACCCATTACCGATCAAAGCGCAATTTCGTAATTCCTAGATTTCGTAATTTCTATCGCATTGAAAATTCATTCCTAGCTACAGCCTTTGCGCATCGTAGTCTCCTGCGAAGCCGTGATGCGCTCGTAAAAAAGCATGTATGGATTGGTGAACAACACATGTGTCAGAGACACGCTTTCGACGACAACATCAGACGTATACAACCACATATTCTCTTTGTGAGCACGTCTATAGCAAACGAAGTGACCACTATCTACCGGGCCGCGATGCTCGATTACCGCACACAACTGGTATTTGTATTTGTTTTGCGTCATCGTGAAACCGTTACATAGATCTTTTGCATCACCCTGCAAGCAATAATGTAGTTCAATATCAATCAGACTACATATTGATTTCAACATTTTCTCACTATAGAGCTCTTATATACTTGATCAATTTCTTATATGTATATTATATTTATCAATTTTATTTATACATACCTGCGCGTTTCTTCTTTTTTGCTCCTTATAGATGAAAGGATCCAATATAAGCGTTTGTGGGAAAGTAACTGGATCGTCCCTCTTAGTTGATCCTGAGGAGCTCCATGTAGTCCTTGAAATATGCAAACACAAACACTTTGGCAGTTTGCCAATTCGGAGAGTTTTGGTGGCTTCACAGCGTGATGAACATCGATCACACTCTACGTCGCTCACCACTTCACTGTCTACAAAGCGTGACAGCAGATCTTCCAAAGTATACTGCGGCATGAATTGCGAAGTATATGGTGGTAATGGTAATAGCAAACTCTCAAACTTATCATAACGTACTGAAGACTACAAAAAAAAAATATATTAAATGCTGTAAATGCTGACATTAATATTATTCAAACATTTAATTTGAATATATTAAAAAAAGAAAAAAAAAACCTTACTTTAGTTTGCAGTACCTTCTTCACACAGGTGCTACACTGTAACTGGCTGGTAATCAGTCCTGAGAATGGATTTGTTTCCGTCGATGGAGTGTTAGAATATGGTATAGTAAACAGACACTGCCAAGACCATATGGAATTTATATACTCGCCATTGTTTCTTGACAACAGCTCTGGTGATCTGGCGATAATCATGCCAGGTTTGGTTTTGTTTAAGATATCTTTCAATTCATTTCCTTTATATAACACATCGGACAAACATCCCTTCTAGAATCATAAGAGCAATTTTTGTCTTTTAATCCTTAAGTAAATACATTGACAAATCACAGATGTGAGTACATGAGTAAGCAGTTTGATAATTAAAGTTTATCACTTTAACAAAAAACAAATAAATTCTTTTTAAGTTAACAAAAAAATAAACATTTTCTTATATATACTTAGGAACTACTTCTGTCAGTCTGCTCTGATCCCACTTAACCTGTGCCTACTTAAAGGTTAAACCTTTCAGAATTTACCTTTTGAAAGGAAATAATTAAGTGTATAATTTTTATTATCAATAATATTTACCTGTATATATTTATCAATATATGATACAGTAATATTAAAAATATTTTTTTTAGAAATGGAACAAGAAAATTTATACTATTACATAAATTATTGATTTCTAATATCATACCCTATTCACAGGTTGTACTTCATCTTCTAATGCATTGAAAATCACATGGAATAATTCATGTGCATCTTGATGACCAGGTCCAAAATTCCAAGATGTGCCAAGGGAAGAGATTATTTCAGTAGGTGTCACATTACCATAAAAATCCTCATCAAAACCATTAATTTCTGCCAGACATAAATTGGATCAATGTAGAAATATCAAGTATTCAAATCAGTTTGAGTAATAATGCAGACTTCTTAAAGTTTTGAAAAATAAAAAAGTACATATAAAATTAGGAGCTCTCAATAATAATCATGTATCAACAAAACAATTTTTAAAAATTTAGATGGATATTTTAATATTAAGTGAGATAAAAAAATTAAATATATTTATATTTTATATATATTTATATGTATATATTGTATGTACAGATATTTGTTTTCTCTCTTCTACATACAGGATGAGTCAAAAATATGGAAACCCTTAAAAATCTCGAATGATATAAGTTTTATAGAAAAGTGATTCAGACAAAAGTTATAAGGCTCAAAACGATGTATTTATTGATTTTATCAGTTTGACCTTGAGTAGCGCTGCCTTTGTCAGGTGAAGGTCAACTTTTTTTTTTTAAACAGAAACCCTTATTTTTTATTGTATCATCTTTTTCTATACAAATTAATTTGAACTTTTGTTTGAAAGATTTTTTTATTTACCTAATATGTTTTGAGATATTTAAGGAAAATTTGGTGACTTTTTCAATACTTAATTTACGATATCTCGCTAATCATTTGTCGGCAGAAGAAATGATATTAGATTTTCTACTCTATTTGGTCTCAAGAACATATTGTTACAATAATTCTCTAACTTTTATTAACTTGCTGATTTTTGAAAATTTCAAAATCATCAAATTAACCAAATTCAGAGCGCTATTGGAACAATATATTCTTGAGGCTAAATAGAGCAAAAAAGTCTAGTATCACTCTTTCTTCCGACAAATAGTTGGCAAAATATCGTAAGTTAAATATTAAGAAAGTTTCTGAGTTTTTCTTAAATATCTCAATATCAGATAAATAAAAAAATACTTCAGACAAAAGTTATTAAAATTAATTGATAGAAAAAGATGATATAATAAAAAATAAGGATTTCTATTAAAAAAAAAAACAAGTTAACCTTGACCTGACCTTGGCAACACCACTCAAGGTCAGACTGATAAGATCAGTAAATACATTGTTTTGAGCCTTATAACTTTTGTTTGAAACACTTTTCTGTAAAACTTATATCTTTCGAGATTCTTATGGGTTTTCATACTTTTGACTCATCCTGTATGTATTCTATATATTCCATATGGATATATTTGTTCTATATAAATATTATTTTTTAAATGTGGAATTAAAAATCAAGATATTATTAAATCAAAACTAACATACTGTTGAGAATAGAAAATAGAGTATTAATAAAGTTCCTGTTCTTCTTTCCCCGTTGTTTTTCAAGCCATAGGATGAATTGAGGACAAGAACCCAATGCTTGCAGGAGAGAATTCAAGAAGCATGTGTATCCTAAATTGTTAATCCCTATAATTTTGCCTAAAAATATGATAAAAAATAAAATTACAGATATTAATATCTGTTCAATGTTACACAGTTAGGTTATCTTCATTATATTTTATTCCTTAAGGATACTTTCTTTCTCTTACATAAATTTTTCATATTAATTTTTATAGATTAACATTCCTAATTTGTATAAATATTAATAATTTAATAATCTTTTTCTCTTTTTAAACATGTCCATTAAATTCTCATTCTCTTCACAGAGATTAAATTTGTCATGAATGATGTAAGATCGTAAAAAATTAATAGATTAATATTGTCTCATTCAACGACAATCTAAAAATTCCTTAGAATATCACCTCTTTTTCTTGGTTTAGGCGACGGACCCCATAAAACAAATAGACCGATGAAGAAAGCGAAGCCCACACCGGCAGCGAACATCGTGAACTTTTCCATGGCGTCTAAAGGTCAGTTGCTTTTACTGTAGCGATTTATCGGCTCTTCAAATGTGAATTGTATACGTTCAAGCTCGTCCAACTCTCTTCTAATGAATCTCCCTGGATGATCCATTCGTGACGGCACCGTGCATGAACTCACTAACCGTACGGATTACCGTGGATTATTGGTCTGTTCTTTGTAGCTGCACTGCTGAACCGGGGTGCCTATTATGGAACTCGTCGGAATCGATTCCGATCGAATTTATTCCGTTATTTCCTAGATTTCTGTTGTCTTTTCTAGGGGAAACGGAATTATTCCGATCGGAATCGATTCCGACGAGTTCTATGATAGGTGTACCCAGGAACTGGAAAAGTCAGCTTTCAATACCAACTTTATTTCAAGCTTCGTCGAAATATCCAGATTTCTACTGAACACTAACCAATTGTTGTGAACTTACCTCTATAACTTAGGCTGCGTTCCGTTTCACGCATCGAGCGCATCGATCGCAACCAATGCGTTACGCGCATTGATATCGTTCCGTTTTCGTTAATGCGCCTATGCGCTTTTGGGAACGGAACGACTTTTAATGCGTTTGATGTGAAAGGAAAAATGGATGCTACCATGGTCACAATGGACATCGAAACATTGCCAACAATAGCCTTATTTTCATTAGTGAATGATGACAACAGAATTAGCAGCAGTAGTAGCAGTAGTAGTAGTGAGTCTATATTTTATCAAGAAATCTTGATCTGTAGAAAAATATTCACACACATGCATTAATTTAAAAATACAATTGAATTGTTTCTAAAACTTAAAAATTTCAATTTTACCTTTCGATGCTCTTAACGCGATCTCTTTTTCGAGAAACATAGTGATCATTTCGTTATCCACTAATACGGGGAATTTAACTTTGTCGACTTTGTCCATTATACGTATCTGTGATTATCTGTATGTTTAAAATAAAAAAATATCGGTACGTTAAATATATCAGTCGTCACGTCACGTTGTCAGTATTTAAATAGGGTTATATGAAAGATTATAAATACTAATCTGCGCATGCTCGCATCAACTGCTTCTAGTCCGAGCTGTAGTAGCTGATGCGCGCTTAAGCTAAGACTCCATGCATGCGGTGAGCTCTGGCAAACGGCTGCGGTGACCAATCAGGAGACAGACGCATGCCGGAGCTTTTGCCGCAACCGGACTTGCGCCTCCCTCCTGATTGGTCATCGCAGCATTTGCCGCAGCTCACCGCATGCATGGAGTCTTAGCTTTAATGGGTGCATTCAGTGGCTGCGTTCAGAAAACACAACGGTTACACAACGGTTGAATAATTCGTCAACGTTATTGGTCTGAATGTAAGGATCTAACAGTAAGGACCAATAGTAGTTACTAAGCACTCAGTGAGCGCTTTGATTTCTAAACGCAACCATTTTATCGCGTTTAGCGGAGAAAACCGCTCAATGAGCGATTAGTGACTATTGGTCACTATTGATACTTACTGTTAGATCCTTACATTCAGACCAATAATGTTGACAAATTATTCAACAGTTGCTCAACCGTTGAGTGTCGTGAACGCACCCAATTCTTACATTTTGAAAAATCAGCAGCGGAGGGATAGATACATAGTGTAAGTCATTCAAATGGGAATGCGTCTTTTGCAAGGTATTGAACAGGTATGTATATTAAATTTTAAGTGAAATCGTATTTATTTAGTCACTAATTGCTCACTGAGCGGTTTTCTCCGCTGAACGTAATGATTGTTGACATACTTATGCCATACCATGTATATTTCATTTCTCGTCTTTTATTGTGAGTAAAGCCAGCGGCACACGGTGCTTGTTTTTGTGCTGGATTGCTTGCTGGATGAAAATATTGCGTTCTGATTGGTGCATTTCCACCCATCTTCGGAAATGCACCAATCAGAACGCAGTATTTTCATCCAGCAAGCAATCCAGCATGAAAACAAGCACCGTGTGCCGCTGGTTTTACTGCGTAGGCGTGCTCCGCAGGCGGAGCAGCAGCTCTCATCTTTCTCGAGTCGGGAACGTCCCGAAAATCATTAAAAAAAAAGTGACAACCTTTATGTCCGCGACCGTATATACGACATAGTTGCTAGATGCATATATTGCGACGCTACAGCGCATGCGTGAGATGACGTAGGCACGTTGCTTGAGTAAAAGTCCCAGTATCGTATCTCTTTTAAGGTATTATAGCGCCCGTATTATACTATGCATTGAGAACTATGCATTGCAATCGAGTAAATTACATAATCTAAATCGTGGTTATTTTAATTGGTTCGATAGTAATTCTCAATCTACATTACAATTTTTCACTTAACAATGTCATTATTACATAATACAAGTATTATGTAACAATTATATAGTCGAGTGAAAAATTATAATGTTGATGTAACGTAACTGTATTTAGTATCCACTGGACAACATAACCTGGGATAAGGCACTTGCGCAAGAAACGCGGGAAAACTATGCGGGAAGACAGCTGATCGGATAGCGCAGGCCCCTCCATGGACCCTGCGATGCGCTTTATTGCCGTTATTGGCATATGCTTTCGTAGAGCTCCTATATCATTTCACGCATGCGCTGTAGCGTCGCAATATATCGCATTTAACAACTATGCTGCTCCGTAATCACCCAATTGGTAAGTCTTTTGTTCGCCTCCGTGACGGTTGGATGTGGTTCCTGTAAGGTTACGCATATTTTTTGATCGTGGGGATTGCGTACGCGTTGTCTCTGTTTCTCTTTTACCTCCATACTATTGGAAAATAGCCTTACAGAATTTAATCTATCTACACCGTGAGAGTGGCGTTGGAGCAGTACCCTATTTTGCCCAGAGCCATTTATTGAATTGAATTGAATTGAATCACTCAATTGAATGAATTGAATCGGTTTTGTGTGGATTGTGCATAACTTTATAAATTAAAACACTTAAGAAAGAAGAAGAATTGAATCGGTTTGCAGTCGCATCGTTTGCTTATTTCTAGTGCAAGTGACAGTATAATGAATTCTTGCGATGAGGATTTGTTTGCTATTACCGATGAAGAAGTGTCATCTTCATCTTCACAATTTGTGCGATTATCGAATCCTGTTGAGAAGTACTTGATGAAGCAATTTATTAATGTTCAGAACAAGATTGAAACTACGACTAATGATATTGAAGAAGTGAAAGCAACTGCTGGCTATATTTTGAATGTTTTACAACAACATGTACAATATGGGACTGATATTAATTCGGATATTGACAATGATGTAAATTTGAATGTTATTTACAATCCTTTACTTAATTTTACGTTGAATTTTATTACACTCTGTTTATGGACATATATAGGAAAATATTTATTAATAGTTATAATAATATTTAGCAGTATTGTGTGCTCTTTAATATTTCCAATTAAAACATGGTTAAAATCATCCTTTTGTTATAAATATAATAAAAAGTAATTATACAGAACTTTTTCACTGTTTTCAGAAAATTAATATATCTGTGTACTTATTATGTATGTAAAAAATAAGAGAATAAAAATCGTATTCCGATATTACAAGTGAACTATTGAACGGTGGCGGTTTCAAGGTTAGGAAATCTGTCATACTAAGACTGCTTGGTGATAATTATTTTTGTACTTATATTGTATAAATATATAAATATTAACCGATATTGTAGTATTACGGCACCAGTTATGTAAATTTAAAATGAATATATGAAGAGTTAAATTTGTATTATTAGTCTATATAAATTTATAATTGTGTCCTGACAGATTTATGTATGTATACAATACAATTTAGGTGTACAGTATAATTTATCCAAATAATTAAATTTGTATGTGCATGCGTAAGTGCAAGTTTTCTTATTACTACCAAATTTATAAAATTGCAAGATCTATTATATTTCCATTATACACGATAATCGTATGTATAAGTACATGTATAGTATGAAATATGGTCTGTTCTTTGTAGCTGCTGAACTAGTATAAGCTAGATATATAGATATAGATATAGAATAAGCTAGAATGAGAAAACCTATATTTGTCTCACTTTAACTTATTGCACCAGTTCAACAGTGCAGCTACAAAGAACAGACCATTAGTGTAGCAACAAACTTAAAAGATACATCTCGTAAAATTGAATAACTTTTCTCAAATAATTCATGTCTGGTAATGTTTCTTTGATATTCTAGGTATAATTCTTTAGCTCTGTTGAATTCTTGATATTACTTAATTCTTATAAAATTATATCGGTATTAAAAAATAAGTCCTGTATTTTTGAATTTTATTTATTATTTTGTTTTACAACAAATGTTCGAGATAATTTTTAACCTCATTATAGGCATATTATATCTATAATATATTGATTGATATATCCTCTAAAAAACTAAAAGTTAAGTATTATATTAGATACATTAATTATTCTGTTGATGAGTTCTAACATGAGTTCATATATTGATACAAGTTGTACACAGCAAATTCTTTTGATATGTTCCCTAACTTTGACATATTTATACAACACATAACAGGTTTAATATGTTCCCATAAACCATGTTGTAAACTATGTTGTAAGCTATGTTTAGTAAACACATTGGCCAAAGAACAAATTTATTTTTTCTTACTTACCTTCAAAAGTATCAATAATATATTTAGCATTTGAAGATGGAAATGAAGTGATGCATCTTTATGTTGGAACTATATTTCTTATTTGATCTTAAGTGATACATATAACAATATAACATATAACAATATAGGATGACTGTTTTGAAGAAAAGATAATTCTTTTAATAATTGTGCTGGTATTATATTACATGGACTAATTAAATTATCATGAACAATTTTGTTTCCCAAATAGTCACAGAAAACTTGTTGATAATGAAAGACAAATGTTGTTTAGGGGTAAATATACATACAAAAGAAACATTGTACCTAATATAATCTATCAGATAGTTTTTGGTAATTTATCTATAGAATATTCAACTGATAATTATCATTTTAGGAAAACATTGCCAAACACAAGTTATTAAAGAAAAGTTGTTCAATTTAATCAGATCTATTACTTTTTTAAGTTTATTACAACTAGAAATATAATATTAAGTTTTGTTAAATTAGAGTTAATTTAGGTTTATTTTCAGTATAATTTAAATATATTAATTTCTGGTAACTTGATGTTACAGTTATATACTATTGAAGGTGAACCTGTTATAAAAAAGAAACAAGATTACAAAACTAATAACATAGAAAGAAACTTGGAAATAACTTCTCAATGGCAATGTGTTCTTCATGATAAATGGATTATCGGAGTAGAATTACGAAATGGAAGACATTGGTAAGTTCTTTACCAAAACCAAATGTTCTCTAATATAATGGAAACATATATAAAAAGATACAGAGCATTATATGATTAAAAATAAATCATTTTCACTAATTTATTTTATTGTATAATTATAATACTTTTTATATAATACTTGGGGATATTTTTATACTATCAAAATTTAATATTTAAATTTTGTTATCTCATGTATATAGATAATTTATTTATATCTTAAACAAGATACACATTTAATTGTTTTGATTAATTTATACTACAATAAAACTAATATACATGTACATGTATATATTTTGAGGTAACTTTAAAAATAATATAATAATTTTACAATATTTAGATATTTGAGCAACATAATGTATAAAGTTATTAATTTGAACATTTTGTACCATATTTCTTCAAAACAATATTGTTATTATTTTTTTAATGATATATTTTGAAGCTTACAAAAATTATTGTGCATTTGTTAAGAATAATTAAAAGATAAAAAAATAAGTATATAGGCAAAAGTAGATAAGACAGTAAGAGAGAGGGAAGAAAGAAACAGGGAGAGGAAAGATTGAGAAAAGAGCACATGTGCGCTTATTGCAAAATTGAATATTTTTATTGTTTTGTATATCATATATTTCGTACGTCATATATTTCGTATGTATTTATTTCAGTGTTCTCGACTATCTTAGTGTTCTAAACTATTTTTTAATATATTATACACATATACGCGCGTGCGCTCACAAACGACACGCACACATACACATATACGCACGCACATACTACGTACATACACGTACAAATACACTATGTACACACATGCATACGTATTTATGCATGTACACAATTATTTATTTTGATTAGAACAAAGTCTACTTGCTTCTAGTGCTTACAAAATTTATAAAATATATTCTATTAGGTGTACAAATTAATTTGATGTCTTTTTTCATGAAATTCAAAGTTTATTAATAAAAAGACAAGTACATATTTCATATTTGAAACAATTTCCATTATTTTCGATGACTTTACTCCATCTTTCGGGTGACTGATGAATGCCTTCGCGAAAAGATCTTGGCAGTTTTGACTCGTTAAAGTTATGGATGCTTTTTCGGGATTTATCAACTGTTTTAAAGTGCTTAAGAATGGTTTAATTGAACTCGCTACATCTTTACAACTCGGAGGTCCTCTCCCGACTCTCTCTCGTTATTAACAACAACAACCAAACAACAGCTGATGCCGCCGCTTGCTATCCGTCTTCTGTCTAATCAATATTTCAGTGCCGTAACAATATAATATTCCCTAGATTACTACATAATTATAACTTCCTAGATACCTAGATGGACTGGAAAGTTTATGAGATCTTCAATTATATTGCGCATACGCACGCACGTGCGTGCGCATGGGCACATGCATGTGTACGGATTTAAGACAAAAAAGCTTCAACATTTTCGTTTCTTTAATAACATTTTTTTAAACTTTTAAAAATAAAATTTTAATAAGAATAAAGATCTATATTTTAATCTATATTTTAATAAATTAAATATATTAAACTTAATATAAGCATTTTATTGAATATTGGAAACATTTTGTTAATGTATAAGCCATCGTATATTTTATACAAAAACCATATAATATTTGTATAAAAGAAAATTTCATATCTCTATTAGTCACCAAGATATTAGAAAAAAATGAAACTTCGGAGATAATTTCATTTCTTACGTACATTTGTGCCTTAACAAATAAAAAGTATTTCTTAATTTTGACGAATTTATAGATCTGCCAATCATTGATTCACAAATAAGGTCATTTACAAATATGTCATTTATCAAAATTGGAAATAGACATTTCGCAGAGGTTCCTTATTGATAAAAAGCAATAGAATGGTTTATAGGATATATGTCTCACAATACAGTACGAGGAATTCGTGGAAACATAGCGGATTGAGCCAAGATGGGTAATTGGAGAAGTGTTGCAGTTACTCGGGCAAGAGTGCGGTCCAGTTGATCTACCAACTATTGCCGGCGCGATAATGCGCTACTATTTATGTCTTATCTCGTTACTTCTACGTTTCGCCGCATGCCGACAATAGTTGCTAGATTGACTGGGCCATGTTTTTGTCCGAACGGTTGTAACGCTTCTCCAATCACTCATTTCGGTGCGTGCTTACTCGTCAAATTCTGTCATTAATAACTCGATAACTGTTGCGAATATTGCAAAACGGTATGGAATTTTTATATTTATCTTAATACGTTCTATACTTCCACGAATTTCTCGGACTGAGTTATAAGACACCCTGTATAAAAAAGTGAACAAAGCTTAAAAATGATTGTTAATAATATAATGAAATTAATGAAATTATAGTAATGAAATTATTATACAGTGCCGGCCAAAAATTCCGGGCCACCTAAATAACTTCTGAATAGTTCAGATATTGGATTGAAATTTATAGGAATACAATGGAATTACAAAGTCTATCATTTAATCACAAAAATAAAATGTATCCATGACGTTAGTTATAAGATCTGGTGTGATTGTTACGTTTGCTTAGGACACTGCCAAGTTGTCGGAGGACACCAATTCGAACATTTAATAAAATAATTAGTGTTTTTCCTTCATATATACATCAGTGTTAAGAACTTTATGGGTACGGCTGCATTTTTCACGGCAAAGAGGGTCTGGAGTCGTGAAATACTGTAGAGCTGACGAACCATGGAGTCCTTATCCTCGCGGCGAACACGAACACGCGCGTGCGTACGTACGCGCGTACGCACACGCACACACATACACCCCCCCCCTCCCACACACACACATGTACCTCTACCTACTTAGAAACACGCGTGAAGCCTTATCTTACTCGCCGTGGCCTCTTGATCGCAAAATCTCAATAGAAATGTTTAAATGATCATAACTCTACGTGAAAAAAACGTAGAGACTTCGACGACCCCGCGTTGTTCTTGTCCTCGGAAAGCCCTTTCAAAGAGCCCTTTCAAGAGCCCTCACTCCAACCCCATATGTCATTTAAGATTTTCTGATCTTCTTGTCTCCCCGCCCCCCCCCCCCTGTAATGTGGAGTTGGGTGTTTTTGTGGTTAAATGATAAACTTTGTAATCCCATTGTATCCCTATAAATTTCAATACAATATCTTAAACTATTCAGAAGTTATTTAGGTGGCCCGGAACTTTTGGCGGGCACTGTATAATAGAAGTATATGTTGACAATATCTTCAAAACCAATATCTGTAAAGTTGTAAAAGTAATTTGTTTTAATAATTTAACTATTACCAAACAATAACACATGGATATTTATACAAGTAGGATCTTTTCATTGTTTAAAATATTTCTATCGTATTCTATTTATCAATATATTTTATATATTTTACAACAGTTCAATTAATTTTAACATACGCACTATAAAAAAGTTCAATATAATACTTAAATAGCTTATATGCAAATTATAAAACGAGGAAATTAAATATTATTTTATCTTTAAAATTCTATGAGGTAATAATGTATTGAAGATATGATTGTGTCTATATACATGTGGAGGATTTAAAATGAGGTTCCTCTCATGTTTAATTCATTTAAGTGCTATCTACAATTTCGTTGTATGTTGCATGCGTTATTGAAATAAAGATTTCGCATGTTTATACATGTAAATATATATGTTTACATATGAAAAACAAATAAAATGTCCACATTATTTTTTACATATTAATGTAGTAACTTCATTTCTTCCAAACGCTAGATATTCTTCTAGTGAGTAGTCGAATAGCACAAAGTCATACCTGAAACGTAAAATTGAATAAAATAATTTGTTTTATCAACGTTTGATCATTCTTCCTCTTCCTCTTACTTTTTCTTTTATTCGTCAACATTTGAAGTTATTTGCTCTGCCTCAGAGGAAATCGTAAATTTTAAGAATGATTGCATTGTAATTTTTAAAATTAAAATTCAGTAAAATAAAAAATAATTGAGTAAAATTCAGTTACTAGGTGAATGGTATGCCAGGAAAATTAAAATACATCAACCATGATATACTACTAGGTATGTGAATTAATTCGGTCCATCTGGCGATCAAATGCTGTACTATGTAATTTTCTAACCTCTAATGTCTGCAAAAGGCTTTATTTTTTAGTTTTGATATCTGGCAATAATATTCAGTTGATAAACGTTTGGATTTGTAACAATAATATCGTGTTTATCTGACTCGAAAATGTCGAAATTCGAGCAAAAAAGCATCATTCCCGGAAAGTTCTCATTTTCTCTTTTCACTTGAAGAAAACAGCCGCTGAGGCCCATCGAATGCTCGTAGAAGCTTATGGTGAAAGTGCTCCCACCGATAAATGATGCAGAGAATGGTTACGACGTTTCAAAAGTGATGATTTCAGTGTCGATAACAAACCTCGTCCTGGTCAGCCGAAGAAGTTCGAAGACGAGGGATTGCAGGCGCTAATCGATGAAGATTCGTGTCAATCGCAACATGAGTTCGCGCAATTGTTGAATGTTGATCGATCAACAATTTCTGTGCGTTTGGCAGCCATGGGAAAGATTTACAAAGAAGGAAGATAGGTGCCATATGAACTGAAAGAAAGAGACATCGAAAGGCGAAAAGCCATGTCTGAAATCTTACTTGCCAGGCAAAAAAGAAAAGGTTTTTTGCATCATATTGTGACTGGAGACGAAAAGTGGATATATTTCGATAATCCCAAACGAAGGAAATCCATTAGCGACCCAGAAAAACCATCCACATCGATACCAAAGCGGAATTCATAGCAAGAAAGTAATGCTCTGTATATAGTGGGACCAAAAGGGTGTAGTGTATCATGAACTATTAAAACAGAGCCAAACCATCATTGCCGAACTTTATCAACAACAACTGATCCGTTTAAACAACGCATTGAAGAATAAGCGGCCGGAATATGCAAACAGACACGACAAAGTGATCTTCCAGGACGATAACGCTCGGCCACATGTTGGAAAGATTGTGAGGGCCACCTTGGAAGCACTTGGCTGGGACGTTTTACCTCACCCGCCGTATTCACTAGACATTGCTCCATCCGATTATCACTTGTTCAGATCGATAGCACACGGGCTTTCGGACCAGCACTTCAACAATTATGAAGAAATAGAGAAATGGCTCAATGAATGGATCGCTTCATATACCGGCAGTTCGCAGATCGCGGCACTTATTACCTAATGAATACATAGAAGATGCTATTTGAGGTTTTTATCACCGATTAGCGCATTGTCAAACAATGAATGGTGAACAATTTGAGCATTTTGATACATTAATCGCGCTTTCAATTGCTAGTTTTCCTTTATGATCATCTTGTCTCAGCTGGCTGGATATTTCTTCGATCTTGCCTTAGCTGGCCGGATACTTTGATCTTGCCTTGACTGGCTGGATATTTTTTTGATCTTGCCTTGGCTGGCTAGATACGTCTTTGATCTTGTTTTGGCTGGTTGAATATTTCTTTGATCTTACCTTGGTTGGCGAGACATCTTATCATAAAAAGCTCGATAACTTCGAAACGGCTTACTCAAAGTCAAAAAAGTTATAGTGTTTTGAAAAGGTCTGAAGAAGGGCTACAAGAATATGTAATAAAAAATAGATAGTCCCATTCAAAAAATTCAAGCTGATCTTGTCCTGACCTTAGCGGCGCCACCCAAGGTCAAACTCATAATGTCAGTAAATAGATCTTTTGAAACCCTACAATCTTTATTTGAAACATTTTTTTCTAAAATGCTTAGTTTTTGTGATATTCCACCGTTCCGGTACTTTTTATACACCTTGTATATCTGCATATTGTTACATATTTTTACTTGTAACTCTTGTTACAAATTTCTTAAAGAACTGTGTGAGAAAAGTAATGAACAGAGTGGACGCGCGAATATATTACTATGATCAAAAAGTATCCGAACTTTATTTTTTAAATATCGCGGGTAAACTGTAAATCAAATCCGTTTGCTTTCTTAAGTTGATACACATGTCCTTCACATTTGGTGAAAAAATCATGGATCTTTCAAGCCGTTTGAAAGTGGCAGTTGTTTATGTCAGTGAAGATTGTTGTGCACCAGCACATTTGGCGCAGCGAGCTTTCCGATGGCAACTACTACGTATGTGGTTGAATACTTGGCAATTTTTACCAAGTATTTTGTACTATTCGGGTTGGGTTAGTACAGATTGCTTCTATTTTTACAACTTGATTCCCTAAGGTTTTGATACCATAGATTTTGTCTATTGATTCGGAGTTATCAAAGGTAAACATGAATAATCTAAGTTCGACATGTGACTTAATGGACTTTAATTCATCATTTGGGTCCTTTTTGACTAGGATCTTAAGAATATTGACCGCTGATAGAATTTTGAAGTTCTTATCTTTCAGATCTACGATAATATCTCTAGGATCAGTAGTAGGATCAAGTCCTCTTGCCATCACCTTGTAGGGACGAGAATTCTTGTCAACGTAGGTATACCATTTCGTCTGGATCCCAGCTTCTTTTTCGTCATTTAGCATTTTAGTGATCCTCCGATATTCTTCCCCGTTTAGACAGTTGATCTTAGTGTCGCCAGATTGGAGGTAGGAAATCTTTCTTTTGAATCCATGTTTTCATAGATTTTCAGTTACTTTGTTGATGTATTTTGGCCCACTAATGTACGAGTAAATTAGTGATGGCAGCAACTTCCTTACTGAGGGGCGCAACTTTCTTACTGAATTTTTTGATGGATGGTTGGAATTGGGCTTGAGGGGAGCGTTTAGTTCTCGGCGGAGTCCGTTCTGTTTCGGGCGCGTTAGTATTTTTCCTCTTTCTTTTTTTTGTTTGGATCATCCAGTCATATTGTCCGTTAGGAGATTTGTCTTTCTTTTTCCTTGGGAACATGAATTCCTCTCCTCATCAGTGTAATATGTCATTTCATGTTCCTCCAATTTGACCAGGCGGGCCTCAAAAGATTTAATCTGATTTTCCAATAATTGGTTTTCTTCAGTAAGAAGCGAACATTTTTCCCTGAGATTTACCGCCTCACTCAGCGAGTCTCTTCCAAGGAGACATTGTTGGAAAACAATGGTTGGTCTTTTCCAGAATCCGTGGGGCCGACCTCCGAAAAGGGTGGATTTTCCAGTAATCTTGAACTACCACCTGACTGGATAATTACTTCCGTTTTAGTTTTATCCATTGCTTGTATTCCACCAGCTATTCCGGCGACTCGATGATTTTCTGTCAGGTTAGGTTGTCTCCCTTAGTTAAATTGCTCTTGTTCTTAGGTGCCAGAGTCTCGCTTTTTGCCCCTCATCTATCTGCTATGACCGAGATCACATTGCCCGGGGTTCGCGAACGAAGGATGCTAGATGATCAGACTTGCTGGTTTACTTGATGTTATACAGCGCGGCATTTCACGGCTCCTTATAGATGTACCTCCTCCAGCAAGGGGTGCACCGCCGCGACCTTACCAGCTATTTGAACCCCTGTGTTATAATTAATTGATAAACGCTTTACATTTTTGATAAGAGATTTTTAAACATTAACAGTGGTATCTTTACTTGTTTAGGCAAAGTTATAATCGTCGATATCTTATAAAAAGTTCGATAATTTCGAAACAGTTGATTCAAAGTTGATAAAATTATAACGGATTAGAAAAGTCTTAAGACGTGCTGGAATATTAAAATATGCGACAAAAAATAAGGGAAGCTTTATGAAAAATTCAAGATGACAGCCTGATCTTGGCGACGTCATCTAAGGTCAAAATGACAAACCCAGTAAATAGACCTTTTTAAACCCTATAACTTTTATCTGAAATATTTGTTTATAAAACATTTTTTTGAAATATTTCGCTGTTCGGGACTTTCTTCATATCCTGTATATTTGTATGTATGTTTCGTGTATTTTGCATATGACATATAAAACTAATTTTTCATATTGTAATAAAGAATTATATATAGACATTTTATATGCAAGATGCCGATGTAATACGTAGCTTTTATCCAAGATATTTAAAATAATTAATAATCTTTTAGTAACGATAAGCGATGTATAATACTGAATAGTTAATAGAGTTAGATTATAATGCGTGTCTCCATTGTTTATCTCTTAATCATAAAGAAATAATCAATAGATTCAGATATTTTAGATGAGGCTTCGCTAAAAAGTTCGTTTCATTATTACATTCGCATTCATTTGCACGTGTTGCGTGTTTGGTAATTTCTTTTAATTAATATCTCAAGAATTATCGTGATTGTTTTCAAAATAATACAGCATTATCTTGGTCAATTTAATAAGTTCAACTTACATACGGATGGATGTACAAATTGCGTCAAATTCTTCATATATTGTACAAAACTTTATTCTGCAATATACGTACCTGAACATTTCATATAGTTCATTGATCTGCATCTTAGATAATTGTGTAAAATAGTTTCTTATAACATCTTTTGTCTGGATTCCTCTAGTTGGATTTTTCCACTCGGGTTTGATAATATGTCCTACGTGCGCTTGCTTTATCAGATAGTTTTGGTCATCCTTTGGTAAAAGAATGTTTTTAGAATAATTTTCGAAAAATATCTAAACAAGATAAATGTGTTTAACATTATGAAAGATATCCCGATAACTGGACCTTCTTTTAATGTATAAACACAAAATAATAAATCATTCATTTATTGTATCATTCTTAATGCTAGCAATCAAAAATTTCATTGCTCACATGCAATGTCTCGAATTTAGCTATAACATCAAATCGCACTTGGCAAGGTGTGCAAAAATTCACTACTGGTGTCCAGTGCATGTCAAGATCATTCCCTGCTTTCCACTGACATAATAGCCATCGCACGAATTCTTCGAAGACTGGATATCTTGGGCCTTGTCTGGTATTCGTCTTCGGATCCTATATTTTATAAAAAAGTTGTATATCAATTTTAATATTTCTTGCTTGAGGTTAACAATTTTATTAATTTAAATTATCATAGAATACGAACACGATGCTGATAAAATTATACTTTAAATCATTCGAAGAATCTGTTCCTAAATATTTTCCAACTTATGCCTTTATTTTGCCTTTGGCAAAAATGTCATTCTACAAAATCTGAAATTTTATCCGAATAAAATTCATATAACCTCCCCTCTTTCCCTCTCTCACTTCCCCCCTTCCTTCTCTTCACTTTCCCTCTCACTTTCTCTTAAAAATCGAAACTTTCTGTAAATAATCTCAATAAATAAGTATAAAAGAAATATCACATATATTATATTGGGTTGACCAATAAGTCCGTGCGGTTTTTCTCGATAGATGGATTCAAGGCGCTGTGCTGAGCTTTATCTTCAGTTGAAAATCTTGAAAGCGTATGATCATTGACAGATGACATTTCAATGCATTTAAAAAATATATGTAAATATTGCTTGTGTATCTTATGTGTTTTGAGTCATATGAAAATGAATAATCAGAACAAGCATTTTCGGCATATTATGCTTTTTTATCTTAAAAAGGCAAAAACGCGGCGCAAACCTGTAAAAAGATTTGCGCAATATATGGTGAGGATGCCGTAAAAGAACACGTGTGCCAAAAGTGGTTTGCGAGATTTCGTTGCGGAGATTTTTCTGTCAAAGACAAACCACGCTTAGGCCGACCAAATGAGATCGACAGCGACAAATTGAAGGCGGTAATCGACACCAATCTATACTACACGACGCGGGAGATTGCAGACGTTCTCCAAATATCGAAATCGAGCGTGGAAAATCATCTGCATCAACTTGTTAGCCGTCTCGATGTTTGGGTTCCGCACGAACTGAGCGAAGCTCATTTAATCTAACGCATTTTCATCAGCGATTCACTCGGGAAACGTGAGAAAAGCGATCCATTTCTGAAGCGTATGGTAACTGGCGACGAAAAATGGATCGTCTACAATAACATCAAGCGCAAAAGATCATGGGGGCAGCGCAGCGAACCGCCACAAACTATAATACTTCGAAAGCAAGGCTTCACCCGAGCAAGATCATGCTCTCAATTTGGTGGGATTGGAAGGGTGTTGTGTTCTACGAGCTACTTCCGAAGAACAGAACGATCAATTCAGATGTGTATTGTAGTCAGCTAAATAAATTTAATGCAGCGATCTACGAGAAGCGTCCAGAATTGGTGAATCATAGAGGCGTCGTCTTTTACCATGGCAACACTAGACCGCACACATCTTTACAAACCCGGCAAAAATTATTTGCGCTAAACTGGGATGTCTTACCACATCCTCCGTATTCTCCAGACATTGCACCTTCAGATTACTATCTGTTTCGCTCCCTTCAAAATTCCTTGAATGGAAAGCACTTTGTCTGTTAGGAAGCTGTCAAACGACACATGGAACAGTTTTTTGCCCAGAAAGACAGGAAGTTTGAACGAGGAATTATGAAGTTGCCCGAAAAATGGCAAAAGATAGTAGATAACAACGGTCAATATATAATTGATTAAAGTTATTACCTTCTATAAAAATAATCATCGATCATTTATAAGTAAAAAACCGTATGGACTTATTGGTCAACCCAATACATGTATATTGTAATTTAATTCTTTCGAGTATATATAATTAACATTCTGACTTAAAAATTCGATAGTTCTAATTAGAGTTCTTGCTTTTTTTAATACAAAAGTACTTTTATATTTTTGAAAAAAATTCCTGTAATTAATATTGTTAAAATTGCAATTAAAAAATCAAGTGCTAATTTCGCATCAAGTATCAAGACCAAATAGTTTTATATAATTCTTTTGATTCTTTCCAACGCAAGTACTAGAGTTCCAGATAAGTTAATATGTTGAATTTTTGAATTTATTTAAAAACGTTATGATCGAAAGTTACATAAATAATGTGAAAAGTAAACTTTTACAATTTGATAACTTTCTAATTGTTGATCGAATGATTTTGATAATAATTTCTTTCAGAACTTGCAAAATATTACTATTGAAAAGTTATATTAGAACTACATTATAATTTAAATCGGGACTTACCCAGACAAAACCTCCAAAGGATGTCCTGGGTGTGTTCTAAGGACGTTTTTAAGACGTTGGGACATTCTCAGGATGTCATTCTTAGGACGTCCTCTAGAGGTCTGTGCTGACTGGGTAGTTAAATTTCAAACTATTTTTTGGTGGGAAACTACTACTACTACATATTCGAAAGTATTGTTTTTGCTTACATCATAAGAAATTGTAATCGTTTTTCAACACAGGTTTTTAATATATGCGAGTGATGAACGTGATGGGTATACGACGATTCTTGGATGAATATATGTATATATATACAGGGTGTCCAGGATGTTTTGGAAACGAAAAATTTTGAAAATTAAGCAGTGAAGATCAAAGTGAGAAGAAAGGTCATGTACCATTATATAAAAATCGCAATAGTTATTAAGTTATTAATTAAAACGTCTAGGCCAATGAGCACACGGGAAACGGTAGACGGGACTGGACAGAATGAGTTGACAATAAACAAGACAAATAACTTACTTCTTAACGTGAATATTCGTGGTGAAGACAATCAGCTGATTGCATGAGGCGGGTTAACACATAAGATCCTTTCCTCGTCTTCAACGGCAAGATGCACTAACGCACGACGTGTTCGTCGAATCATTGTTGTAGACGATTATAAACAAAAGATGATTACCTGCGTCTCTTGCGATCCGCGTGTATCCGACAGACACGTCTTCACGTGAAATTGTTTGACACGCGTCATGCTCCTCCGCGACAAAAAATAAAATTTACTGCAGAGGAATACACCGATATGACTATTGCCTACGGGCTAGCGGACAAAAATGTGCATGCCGCAGTTCGTATCTATGCGGAACGATTTTCTGGGTATGCAGGACATCTGTCGAGAAAAGTGATTTTACAGTGCAAGATTGCAGTGCAAGAGGTTACGTAAGACTGGGTGTTTAGTAGACAACTATAGAGCATAACTGGTATGTTAGTACATCTTGCCGTTGAAGATGAGGAAAAGATCTTGTGTGTTGACCCATCTCATGCAATCAGTTGATTGTCTTTGCTACGAATATTCACGTTGAGAAATAAGCCATTTGTCTCGTCTATCGTCATCATACTTCTGTCTAGTCCCGCCTACTGTTTCTCATACGCTCATTGGTTCCGAAATTTTAATTAATAACTTAATAACTATTGCGATTCTTGAAAAATTTTATAGAACTTTATTGTTCAATCTCACCTATTCTACCTATATAAATTGATTGGTCCAAAATTTCTCAGACACTCTGTACACATAAGCACGTGCGCGCGCGCGCGCGTACACGCATGAACACGCACGCACACATGCATATACTTGTGTACACTCTTGCTTACTTGCTACTTAAATGAATAGATATTGATAGCATCTGACTGTATAATAAGATAATTTTAATAAAATTTCGATAAAATTATATCTTGGAAAATTATCTTCATATTCATAATTTTTATTATGACTTATTAGGGCTTATTAGAGACTTGTTATGACTTATTAAGGAATTTCCACTTTTTAAATGTCGATATATAGCTTCTTGGGACAATACTTATCTACTTCTTGCACAGGCAGATGATTCTTTTAGTTTCAGTCAAAATTTTCAATGTTGTAAAAAATCATCAAACGATAATATTACCTTTGCTCTATAATGCCAAACTATGTGTGCACCGAGATTGCTGTGAAATGTGTGCGGTAAACTGTGCTCTAGTTTGTCCCGATAAGCGCTAAGCAATCTTTCGAACGGATGCCGTACTATCAGGAAACTGATACTGTCGTTTAAGAATTTAGCTAATTCTTCTGCCGTGTGCCTAGGATACTTCTGTCTAGCCAACGAAACCGGCACTGCTTTCGAGGCTTTCAGAAATTGCGGGGTATATCTGCAATATTAGCGCAATCACGATTATCGACTCGGTCGTGCAACAAGCTTCGAATAATTCAATAATTCGATTGGGCCAGACATTTAGTAATATTACAATATAGATGGTAGAAATAGAAAGATCAAGAAATCTTAAGAATAATCAATAGTTTTATCTGTCGTTTTCCCCTTTTATTTTCATTCATAACAAAGAACAAAGAACACCAATACATAAATAACTTACCCTGCGAGTAAGTTGAAGTTATACATCCACGACGTAGAAGCCGCTTTGAAAACATTGCACCATATAAGGTGATATTCTTTATTTATAAGAAATTCCCAGGCATTAGGCCTATGAAGCGAATCATTGCCAGGACGATCAAGTCCTTCCTCGGCACATTTCTCCGCTAGAAATTTACGTCTAGCTATTAGACGTTGCTCGATCTCTGCAGCAGCGATTTGCTCTAATATTTTTTCTTCTGGTGTCAGATTCATTTCCTATCAAAACATACGAAAGTTTTTTTCCTTTTAGAGTAAGAAACTGAGAAAAAGCAACTTTTTGCAACAATATGTAAACGATAAATTATATAGTAACATAGCAATATAGCAGTATTTCGAAAATATTTAAGGCTTCTGGTCCTTTTGCCGGGAAATCCGCGTTGATAGTGGAGCCGCAATGTAGGGATGAGAACTTTCTCTAGCGTATTCACCGTATGATAAATGCGAGTATGTTCTGTTGCGTGCTACGAGTGGTATAAGATAGACAAAAACGGATAGCGAATCTGCCTGTCCTTGTCTTACCACCAGATAGCTGACAATCGTGGCGGCACGAGTCAGCGGTGATCTTACCTCTTACGATCCATCTCACATGTGCCCCTCCTTTCACGCAATGCCTTAAGCCGTAATCACACTAGCGATTGCCGATTGGATTACGATTACGATTGGCGACTGGCGATTAAAATAGAGCATTGTCTAAACGGCAATCACAAATTTCAATCGGTGCCTGTTTTGTCCTGATTGGTTGAAAAGTAATCGCCAATCGTCAATCGCAATTGCAATCCAATCGGCAATCGCTAGTATGATCGCTAGTATGATCATTACTTTAGACAGTGTGTCAAGTTTTAAGCCGCTGGTAGCACGCGTAGCGTGTTGGTGACATAGAGAGGGTCAAGGGAGAGTGTGACAGATAAGATGGAAGTTACCATTTTGAGAACAATCAGATGGAATGAAGCGCGGTTTTCAAAAACGTATTAGGTGTGTGAATTAATTCGGTCCGTTTTTTTCTTCCAAAAAAGATTTTAATATGAAAAAACATGAAAAAGTACACTAATCAAAGTATTAGAAGTAATCGCTTGCTATTATTTTTTCCCATCTGTCTGGCAGTTGTTGCATCCCGTGACGAAAAAACGATTCGTCCTTTGAAGCGATCCATTTATTGAGCCATTTCTCTATTTCTTCATAATTGTTGAAGTGCTGGTCCGAAAGCCCGTGTGCCATCGATCTGAACAAGTGATAATCGGATGGAGCAATGTCTGGTGAATATGGCGGGTGAGGTAAAACGTCCCAGCCAGTAAGTGCTTACAAAGTGGCCTTCACAATCTTTTCAACATGTGGCCGAGCGTTATCGTGCTGGAAAATCACTTTGTCGTGTCTCTTTGCATATTCCGGCCGCTTATTCTTCAATGCGTTGTTTAAACGGATCAATTGTTGTTGGTAAAGTTCGGCAGTGATGGTTTGGCTCTGTTTTAATAGTTCATGATACACTACACCCTTCACTACACACTACTCCCACCATATACAGAGCATTACTTTCTTGCCGTGAATATTCCGCTTTGGTATCGATGTGGATGGTTTTCCTGGGTCGCTAATAGATTTCCTTTGTTTGGGATTATCGAAATATATCCATTTTACGTCTCCAGTCACAATACGATGCAAAAAAACCTTTTCTTTTTTCTTTTTTGCCTGACAAGTAAGATTTCAGACATGACTTTTCGCCTCTCGATGTCTCTTTCTTTCAGTTCGTATGGCACCCATCTTCCTTCTTTGTAAATCTTTCCCATGGCTGCCAAACGCACAGAAATTGTTGATCGAACAACATTCAACAATTGCGCGAGCTCATGTTGCGATTGACACGGATTTTCATCGATTAGCGTTTGCAATTCCTCGTCCTCAAACTTCTTCAGCTGACCTGGACGAGGCTTGTCATCGACACTGAAATCGTCACTTTTGAAACGTCAAAACCATTCTCTGCATGATTTATCAGTGGGAACACTTTCACCATAAGCTTCTGCGAGCATTCGATGAGCTTCAGCTACCCTACAATTTTTATTTGAAACATTTTTTTCTAAAATGCTTCGTTTTTGTGATATTTCACCGTCCCGGTACTTTTTATATGTCCTATATATTCTCGTGAATGTATTTATAATTATCCAATAGATATCTCGTATTATTGAACACGATGATTTACGACAAAAAAAACGGTTGCAACGATATATCCTAAGTGTCTTTTAGGTTATTAAATGGACGGTATTGAGCGGATACTCATCCATATACCGCATTGCGCCTGGAAGTGTGCCAATCTATGGTCGTTGCGCTTTACATAAGGCGAACATTTTCAGTTTCGACAAAAATTTCGGGTTATTTACGAAGAAACTTTTCTCTTTTCGTTATTATATGAATACTGATTACACTGGAAATATATTTCACACACAAGTATGTATGTGCACACGTTTCTTCAATTTTGTATTTATAAAATGTATGTAATTAAGATTGTTATTGTAACTACCTGAAAATAACATTAGAAACTGTTTAAAAATAAAATAAAATACATCATTATAAAACCAGTTCAAGTTAGAGATGCATTGTATTCAATTATTGCTTCTTATGCATATTTTTTTATTACAATATAAAAACAGATTAATCCTAATGATATAATATGCAACGATATATCCTAATGACAATATTACATGAAAAAAAGATGCGAGAATAGATAAATAAATGTATACAATAATAAATATATATTTATGGCGTAATTTGCTCATAAGTTTTCAAAGTATACTTCTAAAATTAAATATTTTATAGAAATCTTTTTATTATAATATTAAAGATATCTCGTTGTAAGTTCAATATGAATTAAAATAGAGCCACAAATTTTTTTATTTTCTCGTTTCTTTCAAACATATGTATTTCATATGACAATAAACATCTGTAGGTCATATTATCACGTTAGTAAGTTGTTCAAAATCCATCCAATGCTAACTATAAGATCATCTAAACAGAAGTACATTTAAATAATGATCATGACTTTGAAATCTCCGAGGAAAAATGACCTCGAGCAAATTGTTCTCATAAGAATTGCTCTTTTGAACAGTCATAAAATATTATCATAAACTTTATATAAAGTGTTCAGCATATTAATCCGTGAACTTGTAGATATTTCCAACGATTTAAAGAAAATAAAAGTTTGTGTGATAAACATTCATTTGCTTCATACAGACTACAACTTGTAAAAAGAAAATTTGAAAAAAATTTCCTCCATAAAAAATCAAAATCACTTTGTATTTTCTAAACAGTGAACCGTGCAATATATTTTATATAATATTTTGGAAAATTTTAAAACGAATTCAACGCACTATTAGAAATGTTACTTTTATTAATATTTATTATTAAATACATAGCATTATATTTAAAAAAATAATATTTATAAGCAGATAATGTTTATAGGCAATAGTATTTATAATTTCTTACAAATTCTGAAATGTAAATATAAATATTGCAAGTCTGGAAACAATTTTGCTTTGTAAACATATAATATTCCTCATCATGAGGAATTATTTGTCGAGTTTTCTTCTGAAAAAGATATTATTCATTGTTTCAATAACGACACTGCTGAATTGTTATTCTAATTCAGAAGAAGTTTATATACTATTGATATTTGGTGAATGTAAAAGAAAATTTTAATAAAGTTGCAGTCTTATACAGGCAATGATATCTACGTAAATAGAAATTATCATACATACAAGATGACATTTAAAAACATTGAACAACAATTAAGGGTAATGATAAAAAAGATGAAAAATGTGATATGGAGACAATCTAATACCATAAAAGTCCTTTAGATAAAAATCCATAATCAGTATTTCTTCTGCTATCTTAGACTCAATAGTTGATATACATAAGTGGCATAAATCAGAAGTTGAAGAAACACTAAATACATATGAACATGAAAAACCACTACTTAACTGAAGTACTTTATCAATCTTAAATTCCATCTATAAAGATTTGACACGTTTATTGGTTTAATAAAAATATATTTAGGAATAAACCCTCGAAACAACGAAAATTTGGATATTCTTATTTGCATATTTTCTCCAAGGCATTTTTATAATGGGAAGAGATCATTCGAAATTACAGTTAGCCTTTTTGATAAAAGATTTAATATTATTTTAATTATTATGACCGTTTTGGGAGAATGATCATTGACCACGAATTCTGAATTTTATAAATAGAAAAGACAAAGAGCAGATTAATTAATCCACGCGGTGAGTATTTGACGCATTCTGAGAGGCGAGAATCATCACAATATAATGCATGAATTCTCACAATACAAGTTTTTAAAGTATAAAAAAAACGTTATATAATTTTGACATCGCTAGTTAAATGTAAATTGGGCAATGTTGTTATTATGATTGTAAAAATTACACGCAAAATTAATTAATTTTACTAATTTTCAAAAGTCTTTTTTAAAAGCATGTTTTGTCAAATGGCTGTCATATATCCAACGAACTAATTAAATAATTGACTTCAAACTGAATATATACAGAGTGAGGAAAAAGTTCCGGACCGGTAAAATATCTCGAAAACATTTTACAACCAAGCATTTTAGAAAAAAATGTTTCGAACAAAAGTTGCATGATTTCAAGAGGGACATAAAACAACTATATCATTTTATTTACAAATGGCACCATTTTCGAGATATTCACTGATTATTATTTTTCTTACAGGGAAACCCTAATTTTTTATTACACGGTCTTTTTCTACCAATCATTTTGAACAACTTTTGTCTGAAACATTTTTTTATTTGCCTAATATCTTTTGAGATATATAAGGAAAACTTGATAACTTTTTCAATATTTAACTTACGATATCTCGTTAATTATTTGTCGAAAAAAAAAATGGTACTAGACTTTTTTGCTATATTTAATCTCAAGAATATATTGTTGCAATCGCGCCCTTACTTTTTTGTTAACTTATTGACTTTTGGAAATTTCAAAATCATCAAATTAATAAAAGTCAGGGCGCTATTATAACGTTATTCTTGAGGCTAAATAGAGCAAAAGGTCTAGTACCTTTTTCTTTCGACCTTTTCTTTCGACAAATAGCGAGATATCGTAAGTTAAATATTGAAAAAGTTATCAAGTTTTCCTTAAATATCTCAAAAAATATTAGACAAATAAAAAAATTATCAAATCAGACAAAAGTTGTTCAAAATAATTGGTAGAAAAAGACGGTGTAATAAAAAATTGAAGTTTCCATTTAAGAAAAATAATAATCAGTGAATATTTCGGAAGTGCCGTTTGTAAAGAAAATGATATAGTTGTTTTATGTCTCCCTTGAAATCATACAACTTTTGTCTGAAACATTTTTTTTTTAAATGCTTACTTTTCGAGATATTTGACCAGTCCGGGACTTTTTCCTCACTCTGTATACATATTCTAAATACATATTTTTTTTTAGCAAGTGCCAAAATTATAATAGTATTCATCTTACTTTTTTTTTTAATAACAAGTTAAAGTCAAAAAGTTTTTATGAAAAATTGCTAATTTATGTGCCCCATTTTGTTATATGTAATTTTTCTTATCAATAATTGATCTTTATCAATGGCTAATAATGACAATCCTACTAATTACAACTCATTTTGCAATTTTCATTTCAAATAAACTCTAATTGTAAACCCAATATAAATTTTTTATTGTTACATGTAGCGTTGTATTAAATAAAAGTTTTTAATAAACATTTTTATACATAAAAATTTATACATTTTTCAAATATGTATAAATATAAATATAACGCAAATAAAACGCATCTTGAAATGTCATAGTTTCCCTAAAAGTTATTTATTTCTCAGTCTATTTTAAGCAAGTACGCTCTTAAATTTAGGTAGTATCAAAAATTTGATCGCTCGGTTCTTAAACGATAATATCTGGCACTGACGTGCTCTTTTATAATACACGACTTACCTCCAACAAATTTGCCTGTTGTAAAGTATTGGTGCCATCCTGACCAGATAGCACTAGGATGATAAGCGTCAGGATACCTGCGGCAAATATAGCCCGACGAATTCCTACTAGGACGCGACGACGTGGGGTCATCTTCTCCCGCAAAATGTGTTTCCGTCTATATTCATATCGGACTGGAACACATTAAAACATCATCTCACAGACAGTAATCTGCTATGAGAAATTGATCAATCTGCTAACCGGCTCACCGCTCGTAATACTATTACGAGTTATATTTCGTTGCTAATGTAGATGTGCTACATGGAAAATGAATAAAGAATTTCTATCGGATATAAACGGATATATGATGTAACAATGATTGAAGCTCTCTTTAGCAGCATGTATAAAAATGTGAGCAATAAAATCTGAACAGTAAGTAAATTGACCAATCACAATTTTGGAAATTATCGAAAATAAAAAATTATTATTCTGAAATTTTCGATTGTAATCGATCGATTCGTCTACTGTTTAAAATTTTATCGCTTATATTTTTATATATTTTATCAGTCTGAAACTTCATATTTATTTTCTCACTGATAAAGGGAAGACCGGAAGCGGAAAACGCTTTTGCAATGCGGTTACAATAGATAGTCCTTCATGTCCATATTAAGGATCTCAAATATTAGCTTCAGACACCTCTTATCCTTTTTATGAATTAAAAAAAAAAAGAAAACATGAAAATGTTCATATCATCGAATCGATTAATCACTTGGCAGCGCGATAAATTTCAAAGAAAGGAGGGAAAAAGTTAAGTGGCAAAATGTTCCAGGATCAATAATTATAAAAACTGACCTTTTCATAGTACTTACATACATATAAGTAGAATTTCAATTAAATACGTTATCTCAAGAGATTCAACAGAACATTAGAAAGTAGATGCGGTAATAATCAGACGATACGGATTCAATATTATCTAATTTTGGAACATTTGCTACTTAACTTTTTTCCTTCTTTCCTTGAAATCTATCGTGCTGTCAGGAGATTAATTGATCCGATGATATCAACATTCTTATATATATTAACTTTTATATATATATATATATAACTTATATATATTAACTTTTTGCACTCGGAGCTATCTCGCGGGTTACCTACCAACAATTCAGCGGCACCTTTTTAGAAAAATGAACAAACAGGAATCGCGTCATATTAAATAATATAATTTTGAAACCAAGTAATTTATTGCAATTATATTTGGTTTATATGAATCTTTAGACATTGAGGAACATATTTATGACAAAAAATCAAAATTTTATATCCTTTTTTCTAACGCGTGGTAACGTATGAATCAGTCACCAATATGCATTGCAGGTTCGCTTTGTCATTGTTCTGTAAACTAAATAAATGGGTCAGAAATGTTTAAATTACAAAATGAAATTTATTAAAAGAATATTATTTTTCTAATTTTACGTTTCTGACTTAGTGCAGTTAACGATCTATTGTGCCGCTCTATACTCCAATATGATCTGCTTTCAGCTTTAAAAGTCTCTTTCTCTTAAGCTACTCTTAAGCCTAAGGGTTGCTTGTTTATCTTCTCAAATGGCACTATATCATGTGGTATATCACCAAGAAAACATGTATTTTTGAAAAATTTACGCTCGCGTAAGTTTATCCTATATAATCACTAATAGTTTTCATATCCCCTTACAGGGGACATCCGAATAGTTTGCTAGACTTACGATGCTTCCTCAGAGGGAACATTCGAGTGCAAAGGGTTAAATTATAAAAAATATAAGACTTATTTGAAGCTAATGTTTGGAATTCTTAATATAAGTCATGAAAGACTGTCTATTGTAACTACACTACTCAAAACAATTAGAGGAACACTTTCAAACTTGCAAAATTTGATGGTTTTTAAGAAGCCATATTTCAGCTTGGGGAGGTCGTAGAACAATGTTCCAGGGCGCATTTTAACGGGTGAAGCATCGACTTTAAAGAGGCTAAGATTTCATTATTCGTCTCATCGAACTGTTTTTCTTGTGAGGCTCAAAATCAGGTCGTGAAAAAATTGTGGAAATTTCATGACTTTGTAGCCATATACGAATAAAGCAGGGAGACATCTTAGCGAAAATGAAGTAGCGCAAGTAATCACTTTAATATAGAAGAGGGTCCTTACCTCTGCTGACACACACACATACACATCACGCACACTTCATATTAACGTACACATACACCATACACATGATGTGCAAAATCCGACCGAGCAACCTCCCCGTGGTGCATATCGGATAACGCGAATGCCGGCGGTGTTGCTAAAAATCCTGCAAAATGCAGGGGTGAGTTTGAAATGTGACAACTCGGCTCCAAAGTATGATAGAACAATGTTCCTTGCGGCGTTTTAAAGGGGAAGTTTCCTACTTCAAAGCGAGTGTGGTGCCATTTTTATTTCCATCCCTGCTTTATTCGTGTATGGCTACAAAATCATGAAATTTCCACGATTTTTTCACGACCTGATTTTGGGCCTCACAAGAAAAATAGTTCGATAAAACGAATAATGAAATCTTAGCCTCTTTAAAGTCGATGCTTCACCCGTTAAAATGCGCCCTGGGACATTGTTGTACGACCTCCGCAAGCTGAAATATGGCTTCTTAAAAACCATCAAATTTTGCAAGTTTTAAAGCGCTCCCTAAATTGTTTTGAGCAGTATATATTCCAAAATCGCATTTCTGCTCCTGGTTCTTTCCTTGTGAATCATTTTTCTCTCGTTGTATCATCACATTAAATGAAGTCAGTTAAATAATGTATTTTTTTCTTACATTATATATCTAAGCAAATTTCTTTTACCATCAGTTCAATAATACAAATTGTTGATATGCACTGAAGTTCTTTTCAAAAACGAAATTTTTCTATATTTTATTAATTTATATATATATGTCGAACGTAAACGTTGTGCACTTTGATATTTGATATGAACGTGAATTTATCGTTCATTCATTATAGGATAATGTATCTAGTATCTTGTGCATATAGAAAAACACAGTGCGATTAAAGTATCGATAAACTGGGATAACAATTGGACTTTCTATGCTACTCAAGAAAGGTTAAGTTCAAACTGAAGATTCAAATATTAACAATGGGAAATAATGAAAAGATTCGGAAGGATAAGTATATCACGTTTATTTATGGAATGTTATGGAATGAAATAAAATTGGAGGAAATGCGAGGAAATGTCAATGAAATGACTAGTCAATATTACATTTCTCAAAATCGCAAGACTACGAACATTATCGTGGTGAGTGAATGGAAAACAGTATAATCTTCTACATAATATATTAAATATTACAAATTACGTATCCTCTTGAATATCTCCTAATTTTATCTATAACTTAGGTGTACATATACAGAGAGCAGAATGCACACATAAAATAAATGCGTAAAATTGCTGCTTTATACGACTAATCGATATTTGATATTTATATAGAGTATCTAATACAATTCGTACGAACGTTCGTGTGAATGTAAATCGATCGAAACAAACAAGTCACCATCATTTTGTAAACAACTACGTAAAATTTACGGTTATTGATATACAATACCCTGTATATCTGAGTTACCTATATTTTTTTAACTGTATTATTGATCATTCGTTTTATATTATGAATTATACAATTATACAGGGTGATCCGAAATTCCCGCATTCGGAGTACATGACATGGTACTTTATGCTAAAATAAACAACTTTTTCCTTTAGCAAAATTGCGTCCAACAAGTAGTTTTTGTAGAAGAACGTGTTAAAGTTAACGAATAAGTGCTCTTGCCTATGTGACGCTCAGGGCCGGCGCGCGCGCCTCACTCGCGTGTACCTAATCAGTGACTAATATTCATAAGTAATGCCTTTTAAGACGCTCATACGGCTCTGTTGTGATTAGTTTATGACATCTAATACAATCTTAAGATGTCGTCAACTAATCACAACAGAGCCGTATAAGCGTCTCAACAGATTGCATGCGCGGGTATATTTCGCCGCGGACTTACGCGTGTAGCGGGCGTTTTTTCATGAATTTCGCGGGAGTTTGGTCATTCAGTAAAATCGCAATAAATCGATAGCTACTTCGTTCTTCTCAATGAAATTTCTTTTATTTTACACTTAAATATATGCTCTACGATTGTTAAAAAAAAAAAGAAACGACATTTTTTTTTAATAAGTAAATATAGAATAGTGAACTAAAAGTCGTTGCCTAGCAACACAAATACCATACACACAATGCCCATCGTATTTATACGATACCCGCTCTCCAGCACAAATCTACTACTAAATACGTACTTTTACGTGACCCGCGCTCTAGTGACAAACTGCAAAAAACGTAAAAGTACGTCTCCCGCATGCAATGTGTTGAAAGATATTATTTATGAATACTCGTAGAATACTCACTGACTAGATACACGCGAGTGAGGCGCGTGAGCCGGCTCTGGGCGCTACATAGATAAGAGCACTTATTCGTTAACTTTAACACGTTCTTCTGCAAAACTATTTGTCGGACGCAATTTTTAAGCTGAAGGAAAAAGTTGTTTGTTTTAGCATAAAATATCATGTCCTGTACTCCGAATGCGGGAATTTCGGATCACCCTGTTCGGACACCTGTAATTTATTTAGGAATTATAGAATTTTATATCACGTGCAGTACGATAATTCATAGATCATAGACAAGACATATTTAACATTAAAGGAAATGTCTATCAAAAAATCACCAAATTCGGGTCATTACAGCGCATATGCTTATATAGAGTGTCACGTGGATTATTACGTGATTCGTATAAAATGTCATCCATTGGCGACCATAGTAATCAATAAAGATACTTGTATAAAATGACTTAATCGAAAAAAACTTTTGACGACAATTATTAATCAGCAAGCGAAACAGCACGCTATAAGCGAGAAAGTGAAAGAGGCAAAAAAGAGAACTGGCTAACGATGAAATCGTTATAGGGTGGTGGTCTTTTTTGCGCAATTCTAATCTCGGGATTTCCTGTGAGATTTGCTTGCTCGCTGCTTTGCTCGTTCACAGGTAGTGTATTTTGTCATATTGTACCTTCTCCGATGGGCATGTATCCAACGACGACGAGGACGTGATAATCACTGACGCATCGATGCGGTTACGTACGCAATTGTCCAGCGTAGCTTCTCCCTTAATCGCTGGTTACCCAGTTGCTACGTCCATCGCTACGAAGAATGGGGTGTCGTCGAGGGCTG